GAGGGGGCCAAGAAGGTGACGGTGACTGAGCTCCTGGCCGGCATGCCCGACCCCACGGGCGACGAGGTGCACGGCGAGCAGCAGGCCGGGGCTGGTGAAGACGCGGACGGCGAGGGCGCTGGCGAGGCGGCAGAGGGTGCTGGGGACGAGGAGGCGGCAGCGGGCGAGACTGGCGCAGGCGGCGGAGACGGGGCCGTGGCCGTGGCCGAGGGAGGGCCCTTCCGACCGGAAGGGGCAGGCGGCCTTGGGGACATGGGTGACACCACACCGGTCGAGCCACCCACGCCCGAGGGCTCCCCCATCCTGAAGAGGAAGCTGGGGGTGAGAATGCAGGCGTGGGGGAGATTTTGTAGAGACTCTTTGCAGGAGTGGGAGGGTTGATAAGAGATTTCCAGACAGTGAGGTGGAGGTGGACATGGTGAGAGATGGAGAGAAAAGACTGAGGGATAGAGACCTGGAGAAAGATCTTCAAGCAGTTGTTGGGTACCGTTGAGTAGGCACCCACCCATAGCTCACCCTCCAGCGGGTGCTCAGAGGCAGTTAATCTCAGGAGATGGCCCATTTTTCTTCCTCAGAGCAGTTGGTAAATTCAAACCACATGCCTTTGAGATTGCAACACAGCTTCTTTACCTCTAGTGCCACCAGAGCTCCCAATACGGTACCTCTGGGAAAGAGGGAGGAAAGGACACTGGAGAGAACACAGACCCAGAGGATTCCGGGACCTAAAAGGACCCAAGAAGGGGTTCACATGGGAAAGACAGGCCCTCAGAGATACAGTCATAGGAAATGAAGAAGCAAGCACGTGTGTTTATGTGTGCACATATGTGTATGAGAGAAAAAACCCTCCACATGGAGGGAGTCAGCCTGACCCTGTTAAGAGCTTTGAGCACATTTGAGACTCACATTCTCCCAGAGCCTCAGTTTCCCCTCTATAAAATATAACTTGGAATCCACCTTCCTTCAGGTGGGAGGAGTTGGAAAGCTTAGGTTGCCCAGGGAAACAGCTACCGAGAGGCTAACAGAGAGAGTGAGGTTCAAGCAGGTCAGCACTGAGAAGTGTGTTGGGTTGGAGGCTCAGAGGCCCTGAAGCCTACCCTGCCCTGTCCCCAGGTGGAAGGAGAGGAAGAAGAGCTGCCTCCAGAACCGGAACCGGAACCAGAGTTGGAGAAAGCTGAGTGAGTGGCCTGGGGCCTATGGGGACTTGCACATATTACTGTCTCCCTCTTGGACGTGGAGCCAGCCCTGGAGGTCAGAGCCACAGGCAATCCTGGCCACTCTGTGTCCTCAGCAACTCAGCCCAGACACAAAAGAGGCTCAGTGAAAGTACAGAACGCGCTCTGCTCACATGCCGGCTTCCTGCATCCTGTTCCAGCAGCTGGAACACTGGGCCACTTGCTCACCTGTGTCTCTCACGTCCCCACCTCCCTGGGTTACACATCTTCTCCAGGAAGCCTACCTTGACATGCCCTGAAGATGAAGAGCTATCTCCTCTGGTCTCCTACTACCCTTTGGGCTTTTCCAGCCCATCCCTGATAACTCTGGGCTGTCACTCCCTGGTGTGTCATGGGGACTCTGAGAACAGTCATCACCTGTGTCCACAACACCACCCAGGGCTCGGCCACACATGAGGTGGACGCTGAGCAAATGGTTGTGAATTAACGAACACATGGATACCTGACCTTTCTCTGTCTCATCATCCCACAGTGCCGAAAACGGGGAAAAGGAAGAAATTCCTGAACCTGAACCTGAGACCCCTGAGAAGACAGCACCTCCTCCACACCCTCCAAAGAAAGAGGAAGCCAAGGGTGGGGGCATGGAGTTCTGGGAAGAACTGGAAGTACAGAGGGTGAAATTCTTGGTGAGGATCCAACAGGGATGCAACTTCCTCTCTCAGGGGAACCCCGACACCTACACTCACCTCCACTTCCTAGCCTGGTCCTGGTTCTATGTATGCCTGTCTCTAAAAGGAGTTCAGGCTGGGGAAGGGCAGAGATATCCACCAGAACTGGGGCATGGACACATGGCAAGGGGTTCTCCCCTGACTCTTCACCGTGCCCCTGCTCACGATTCTTGTTCCAGCCCCCATTCCTTTTTTCATCTGGAACCGTGTGCAGAGTCCCCCACCCCTTCTTGTCTGCAGCCATATCCATCTGAGGCTGAAGTTCCGGTCTTCCCACTATGGCCTAGTCTGAGCTCTCATTTTTCTGAGCCTGTGTCAGCCCTAGGCCCTCCATGGTGGTGGAGAGTTGAGCTTGCATGATCTCTAGGGAAGCACTCATCTCCTCCTCCAAGCTGAGAAGGAGGAAGGAAGTTCCAGAAGGCAGGGCCCAGGGCTCCATCTCCCTTTCTTCATTTTTAGCCCTGTCTGACATGAACAATTTGGACAGAAAGTGTCCAGTGGGGACTAATGGAGTGAATGAGGGAGGGGGAAAGGGGCAAGGAAAGAAGAAATAGATGTCCCCTACTTAGGACAACCTTACACGTAACCTTACACAGTTTAGAGTGGGGACTTAGAGCCTGACTGCCCGGGTGCAAATCTCAGGTCTGCCACTTTCTAGCTCTCTGGCCTTGGAGAATACACCTCACTTCTGTGAGCCCGAGTTTCCTATTTGTCCAAGTTGTTGAATGCCATCAAGCTGGCAATGACTCATTGCAACCCTATGAACAACAGATCTGAACCTTGCTCTACAGGAGTAGTTCTGCTCTGTAGTAGTAGCACGCCCAGTAGTATCCAATCACAGTAAGACTGATGAGCCTGAGATAAGCTCGTGTACAAAGGAGCCCCTGAGTGATGCACTCAGGTTCTAACTGAATAATTGGAGATTTGCGTTGACCCAGAGGCAACTAGAAAGAGAGGCTCATTGGCCTACTTCCAGACAGCGGGGGCCACTGAAAACCCTCTGGCACAAAAGTTCTCCATTGACACATAGGGTTGCCCTGAATTGGAATTTACTCAACATCAATTGGTTATGTCTATCATGAATTTAAGCCAGGTATTGGTATAGAATAAGTCTCACCAAACCTGTTGTCATCCGGTCCATTCGGACTCAGCAGTCCTTCATCAGATTTCTCAGGCTGTAAATCTTCACAGGAAGAGGCGGCTCGTCATTCTCCCACAAGCCCCTGGTGGATCTGAACCAGGATCCTTAGGTCTTGAGTAAGCACTCAATGAACAGTAGTTTGTGGGCCCTGGTACTGAGGATCCCAGTGCTCTGACTGTGACTGATGGGATGAATTCTGACTGATCAATGAGCTCTTTCTCTTTCTTTCCTTGTTCTAGAACTACCTCTCTCGGAATTTCTACACCCTGCGGTTCCTTGCTCTCTTCTTGGCCTTTGCTATCAACTTCATCTTGCTGTTTTATAAGGTGCTGGTCATGAGGATAAAGTTCTATGTGGGCCAGAGGGTGGGAGGTTTCTCTTCCCACAAGCTCCCCAGAATGAAAGCACAGGTGTTGGGGTGAGGATCTTCAGGGGCTTTAGACTGGACAACTGGATCGTAGGATCCCATAGTGGTGACTGGGGGTTTCTGAGTTCATCTGAGGCACATCCCCAAGAGCTTAGATAAGGAATCAGATATGGGTTCCATGCCCAGCTCTGTCACTTGTCAACACTGTGCCTCTGGGTCCACTCTCTCACCTCCCTAATTATCCACTCGTTCAGTTAAATTTATCTGCCTTGCTTTTGCATAAAAGAGATATTTGTAGGGCGAGGAAATGTATCATCTCACAAGATGAAAGGGAAGGGTTAAGAACCAGGCCTCTGAAGAGGTAAAAAGGGATCAGAATTAAATGCCAGGGATCTAAATAATAGGACCCAGGGCACTCAGGCTCATGCCAACAGTTTAGATAACAGGACAGAGGTGAAAAAGAGTGAATGGAATATGGAAACTGTGAGACCAAACTCTACAACTCAGTCTTATGTAAATAAACTGCTTAGCCTCTTTGTGCCTCAGTTTCTGTAAAGTGGGCATAATAACAACATCTACTTCTTAAGAGTCATGGGGATTAAAAGAAGACTAGTTTGTGTAGAGCTGTTAGAACACGACCTGGCATATAGAAAATGCTGTGGAGGTGTTAGCTGCTATTGTTAGCATTAAAAGTAGTAGTCAGTCTCCTTAGTGCTCCACCATCAAATCAACCCAAAACTCACAGGACAGAGTCTGATTTGCTAGCTAAGAGCCTATGCCTGCCATTTGGTCTTGATTGATAGTCGCACCCAAAATGTTTCTGATGGGACCCCAGTCCATCTGCATTGATGGAAACTGTTCATGTTGTCATTGGGTTCCGAGCGTGGCAAAGCAAATGTCAGCCCAGCTGACATCTGCTCCTCCTTCAGGTCTCAGACTCTCCACCAGGGGAGGAGGACATGGAGGGCTCAGCAGCAGGGGATCTGTCGGGTGCAGGGTCCGGCGGTGGCTCTGGCTGGGGCTCAGGGGCCGGCGAGGAGACAGAAGGTGACGAGGATGAGAACATGGTGTACTATTTCCTGGAGGAGAGCACGGGCTACATGGAGCCTGCCCTGCGTTGCCTGAGCCTGCTGCACACACTCGTGGCCTTTCTCTGCATCATTGGCTACAACTGTCTCAAGGTGGGCCGTAAGCACAGTTCTGGGGCAAGGGTGGCAACCTGTGCAGGGCCTGGGACCATAGGGCCCAAGGCCAGGAGGACTGAGGAGCTGGGTCCAGGACTGGGACTCCAGCAAGGATGATATATTTTTTTTTCTGTTGAAACACCTAAATTTATTCTCCGCCAATTTCTGGAGTATTTTTTTTTAATGCCTTTAGTATAACCTAGTCTTCTTCTTTCACTATTATTCATTTTTTATCATAATATCTCCTGAAGTGATTGAGCATCAACTAATTCTTTTAATATGGTTACTGTGTGTATTCCTTCTAAGTTTTTCTTGATGCTTGCTATGTCATTCAATATTTTGAACACAGTATTTTACCTCAATATAACAATTTAGGGATTAAAGGTTTTTTTTAATACTAGTTTCATGCTGAAAATACTCAACATGCACTTTCTTACTGGTTTTCTAACTCCAGGTCTTTGCACATTTCATTCTATTTGGGTTTTTATTGAACTGCCCTTTGAATTTTTCATTTCAGCTCTTTCACATCATCATTTTCCTTTTGTTTTATTTTCTACATTTGGAAGCAACTTTCAGTTTCTTCTGTCATGTATTTTGGCCTGTTCTTTCTTTTCAATGACCTTATACTTTCTCTCCCACCCCCATATATGATATCCTTGATGTCATTCCACAACTCTTCTGGTCTCAAGTCATTGGTGTTCAATGTCAGTAAATGTTTATACTTTTTGGAAATTTACTACCAGAAGAATATCAACCTGCGTTTCATTGATTATGCAAAGGCATTTGACTGTGTAGATCACAACAAATTGTAGCTAACCTTGAGAAGAATGAGAATCCCCAAACACCTGATTGTGCTCATGCAAAATATACATGGACCAAGAGATAGTTGTCAGAACAGAGCAAGGAAATACTACACGGTTCAAAAATCTGGAAAGGAGTATGTCAGGAATGTGAACTGTCTCCACACCCTTTCCATCTATTCCAGCAAGGATGATATTTAAACTGGCACAGGCCCTAGTTGAGTTGGTAGGAACCCTGCCCACATCACTGTGTTGATGTCTTGATGGAGAAACTGACTTTGCATTGAAAGTGTTGATTCTCTGCACACTGATCAGTGAGTGAATCAAGATATCTGGGGTCTCAGAACATGAGAGGAAATGGCTGAGGGGAAGAAGGTGGCCCCCGACTTCAGATGTGCTGTGTGGTGGATGCCCTATAGGAGTGTTATGGGAGCTGCAGTTCCAGGAGTGCCAAGATTGTTGTCGCAAGTCTTGACAATTTTCTAGAGAGTGAACAGTTCTCTTTTGGGTTAGAGATTTTGCATCCTGTTCCTTCCGCTTAGAATGTTCTTCCTCCCTTCCACCCATTTCTCCTGTCTCTTGTTCATCCTTATGGTCTGCTTTCAGTCCTGTCTCCACTGGGAAAGCCCAGGCAGCACTAGGCACAGCCTCTGGGCTCCACCAGCCCTCTATGTTCCCCTCTTACCACTTCTGATACAGGGTCTCATCCAGGTTCCAGCAAAATCCTGTGGCTGATGCAGAGACTGTGGTCTAGCTGAGGCAGCTGATGCCTAGCTAACTCTGGGTCCTCACTCCTCAAACCAGGTACCTCTGGTGATCTTTAAGCGAGAGAAGGAGCTGGCCAGGAAACTGGAGTTTGATGGCTTTTATATCACAGAGCAGCCAGAGGACGATGACGTCAAAGGACAGTGGGACCGGCTGGTGCTCAACACACCGTGAGAACTCAGGGCCCACCTCGGGGCAAGGGAGGAGGGGACTGGGTTTCCGTTCCAGCCTTGGCCCAAGTCTCCAAAACGGAAATTGTGGTCCTGTTCTCCCCAAGTTTAGTCCTCCTCTCCATAAAACAGAGACATAGCCTTCATATTGAGATACCCGCAATTGATACGCTGAGTTGCCCGACTCCCAGACCTGGAGCTTCAGACTCAGAGAATCTGGGCTGGGGCCTAATCACCTGCATTCTGAACTCTACCCCTGTGCCTCCCAGTCATCATTCTCACCCAGATACCTTGAGTGGGAAATAGGAACTAATTTTGCTCATGCAGTGAACCTAGGATTTCATAGAGAATTGAGCTGCTAACCCAAAGGCTGTTCAAATTCAGCATCTCGTGGGGAGAAAGATGGACACTCTCCTGTCATTGATTTAGTCTTGGAAACCCAATGGGAGAGGTCAGTTGTGAGTTGGCATTGAGTGAAAGAAAGATGAGGATGAGGGTGTGCAGGGATTTTGGACCCCAACATACCCCACTGTGGTCCTGCTGTAACAGAAATACCACCTGTGGAAGGCTTTCACAAACAGAAGTTTATTTTCTCAGGTTAGGAAGCTGTTTGTCAGAATTCAGGGCACCAGCTCTACAAAAGCTGTCTGCCAGCTGTCAGATCAGGGGAAACCCTTGTCTTACTTCTCCAGGTCACCTCTTTGGTATTACTGAGCGGCCTCCATCCTTGGATAGCGTATATATTTCCTCCAGGTCTGTTTTCTTTCTAGTGCTAATCTGCTCTTTCATATCTTAAAGCCATACTCTATGCTGATAATGGCCACATTCGGGTAACCCTATCCCAAGGGGGGTTGCATCTATAGGTATGCTGTCTCTGTCGCCCATTATCATCTAATGGATAAGGACAGGTGGCCTCTCTGGCTTTGAGTTGGTTGCAACTCATAGCACCTGTAAAAGAGTGGAACTGCTCTGCAGTTTCCAAGACTGTAGGTCTTTATGAAAACACACTGCCACATCTTCCTCTCATGAATTGTGAGTTTGAACCATCCACCAACCTTTTGGTCACTATAACCTCTGTGCTAACAGTGCTCCTCTTACCATGTATCCCAAGGAGACCCAAGTCCACTACCATAGAGTTGATTCTATCTGATAACAACCATCTGCCTTTGGGTTGGCAGAGCAACTCCTTATGTACTGGGCCACTAGAGCCCCTCCGAAGGGGAAGGATTTCAGATCACCCATGCCTGGCTGGAGTTCCTGCCCATCACTGACATCTCACGACTCCTTTCTCTCTCAACAGATCTTTCCCGAGCAACTACTGGGACAAGTTTGTGAAGCGGAAGGTGAGAGGACACAGGTTGGCGCCATGGCAGGGCCTCCCAAGCTGGATCCCTTTCCCTTAGTCCATCTGTGCTCCGCCAAGCTCTTTACTGTGCAGCCTTGGACAGGAGGCTTTGCTTCTCTGAGAAAGTATCCAGAAGAAGCCATGATGAGCACACCTCCCTCATATGAAATTGTACATATGTGGTGCATCGCGTGGTGACTACACAAAGTACTCCCCTCATTCTACTTTTTGTTTAAAAAGTTAGACATAAAAAAAAAGTTAGACATAGATGCTGCTCTTTTGACCTTGGGATGAACCTCACTAGGAGAACTGATACATAGAGGCTCATAGCAGCACTCTTCTTTTTAATTGTGGTTTGAGTCAAAGTTTACAAAGCAAATGGCTTTTCCAGCCAACCACCCATATACATTTTATTTTATAAGATGAATTACAATACTTGTAATGCAGCCACACTTTTCCCAACCTCCCTAAAATTCTCTCTTCCAACAATCCTGCTGTCCTCCTTTTGAGCTTCATCCTTGGGCAAATGCTGCTCTGGTTGGTTATTCTAAGGAGTGAGTGTCTCTCTGGTGTTATCAGTCTGTCTGCTGATTGATTAGGGAGCTCTGGTGGCCTAGCGGGTAAGGAGTTGCACTTCCAACCAAAGGTAGGCAGTCCAAATCAACCAGCTCCAAAAGAAAAAGATGAGTAATCTCTTCTCTTGCAATCTATAGTTTCTGAAAACTAACTGGAGGGTTAGCTATAAATTAGTTCCAACTGGATATCAAATAACAACAACACTATTTGGTCATTGCCTTTGTGGACTATGTCATGCCAGTTAATCCTGTTGTCCCCCAAGACACAGAAACACTATTTACACCAGCCAGAAGGTAGGGGAAAACCCTGTGTATCCCTCAACAGATAGATAAATAAGCAAAATGTCATATAGAGAGACAAGGGGATACTATTCAGCCATAAAAAGTCATTTAGTTCCATTGTTGTTGTTAGATGCTGTTGAGTCGAGTTTGACTCAGCGTCATAGTGACCATGTGAACAGAAGATCTGAACCCTGTTCTATCCCGTGCCATCTTCACACTTCCTGACACATAGAGCCCATTGCAGCAGTCACCGTGTCAATCCACCTGGTTGAGGGTCTTCCTCTCCTTTCCCGACCCTCCACCCTTCCCAACATCATGTCCTTCTCCAAGGACTAGCCCCTCCTAGCAACCTGTCCAAAGTATATGAGGCGAAGCCTCATCATTTACCTCCAGAGAGGGCTGCACCCTCTCCAAGGCATATCTGTGTGTTCTCTTGGCAATCCATGGGATGTTCAGTGCCCTTCTTCAACACCACAGCTCAAAGCTGTCAGTTTATATAATGTGGATGAACTTTGGAAACATTTTGAAAGAAACTCACTCATTGCCATTGAGTCAAGACCCATTTATACCTGACCCTCCATTGGGATTTTTGAGGCTATAAGTCACGCAGGAGGAAATTGCTCATCTTTCTAATTCAGAGCAGCTGGTGGGTTTGAACTGCTAAAGAGGAATTACCTTTGACTTAGCAGTGCAACTCCCTGTGGACTACACTGGACTGAAAGAAGTCACGTACAAAAGGCCACATACTTGTGAATCCGTTTGTTCTTGTTCCGTGCTGTTGAGTCAACTATGACTCACAGTGATCTTGTGAGCAACCCTTCTGAACCTTGCCCTGTCCTGAGCCAAGCTCACCATCTCCGACTCATTTGACCTCATCTCATTGAAGGTCTTCCTCTCTTGAGCTGATCTCTACCTTTCTAAGCCTGAAATCTTTCTCCAAGATCTGGCCCCTCCTGACAGCATGCCCAAAGTATGTGGGATGTAGTTTAACTATCCTTGCTTCCAAGGAGCATCCTGGCTTCATAATTCCATTTATAGTAAGTGAAACATTCAGAGAGAATAAACCCATAGAAACAGAAGATGTGTTAGTTGTTGCCAGGAGCTGGGAGGGAGGGATAATGGAGGACCTGCTGAAAGGATGTGGAGTTCTATTTCAGGATAATGAAAGTGTTTTGGAACTAGATAGAGGTGCCAATGGCAAAACATTAAGAGTGTACTGAAAAAAATTTTTTTTAAAAAAAGTATACTGAAATGACACTGAATTGTTCACTTTAAAATGTTTCACTTTATGTGACTTTCACCTGAAAAAACCCAGGTAGCCAGCTGTTCTCGGGCTACTTCAACTTGTAGTAACCGGCAAGTGTTCAAGGCTGCAAGTCGTTACCAAGGAGATGGCCCATCTTTCTCCTACTGCTTACTGGTGGATTCAAACTGCTGACCTTCTGTTAGCCACTCAATATTTTATGTAGTATGCCGTGAGACTCCTAAATAGTTACGAAGGAGGAAATGTGTGCAATTAGGTGCACAGACTCTGGAGCCAAATTGCCTGGCTGTTACAACCTTCCGTGTCTCAGTTTCCCTCATTTGCAAATTGGGTCTAAAACCATGTCAGCCTCACAGGATTGAATGACATTGTATACAAACCAGCAGTATCTGGCATACTGGGTAAGTGTTGGCTGACAGCTTTCATTCACTTATCAAATGTTTGTTGAGCACCTACTATGTGCTCAGAACTGCTTTAGGAGCATTGGAACTATTTTAGGGAGAGCTCTGGTGGCCTCATGGTAAGAAGCAGCACAGAAATCTTAAAGGTATGAGATTTGAAACCACCAGTTACTCTGAGGGAAAAGGATGAGGAGTCTCCTTCCAGGTGATTTACGGCCTCTGAGAACCTGCTGGAGGGTCAGCTGTGGGTCAGTTCTGACACAGTGGCACACACAACAACAGGATGCAGCAGTGGGCAAATTGTTGATACTGACAGATTCGAAAGTCAGATGGTAAACACATTTATAATGTTCAGGTGGTGATAAATGTCATAGAAGGAAAGGATAATTAAGCCGTGCAGAGGGACTGGGAATGTGTTACGTCTCAAGAGGGGGTAGCTCTTTTCTGGAGGATGGACAGGAAAGGCTGTGCTATTTAATAAAGAAGGAAAAGAGGGAATCAGTTGGAAATCTGTGGCAAAAATATCCTAGCAGGGGGAACAACCAGTGCAAAGGCCCGACAGCAAGAATGCGTTTGAGGAATGTATTTTGAGGAAGTGCAGGTGGGGGCCTGGGCTGGAGAAGAGTGAGCCAAGGGACAAGTGGGTGGGTATGGGTTCAGAGAAGTGCAGGGCTTCCTTGTCCAGTGGCTGTTAGCTGCCCTAACATACCGTGACGCCAAACACGACTGGACAAAACACTGCCTGGTCCTGCACCGTCACATCTCCGCGACTGGTTGCAGCTCAGACCTTCGTGATCCTCAACAAGTTTTGATTGGCTGACTTTCAAAAGTAGAACCAGTTCATTCTTTGGTGCTGAAATCTGTTCAGCATCAGAGCAGCATAGGAACCTCTCCTGGTAGATGGGTGGAGGCCAAGCATAAAGTGCACTGGACTGGAATCAAACGTGAATCTCCCACATGAAAGGCAGAACTTCTGCTACTGAGCCACCAGAGCACCTCACTTCCTTGTATGTCTACCTAAAAAGAATAAATGATCCAAAGTAATTTGGCCAGTTAGGGTCAGTCACTGTGGATCTCCACCTGGAGGACCATGGAGAGAGCTCTGAGCCTTCTCAGAAAAATATGTGTCTCTGATTTCCCACGCAAAGCTCAGGGCATCCTCCGAAGCCCACAAATGGCTGTGGCCACTCACCTCTGGTCGCCCTGCACTGCTCAAGGTTCTCCTCTGCAGGTTCTGGAAAAGCACGGTGACATCTACGGACGGGAGCGGATCGCCGAGCTCCTGGGCATGGACCTGGCCTCCCTGGAGATCACAGCCCATAACGAGCGGAAGCCTGAGCCCCCGCCCGGCCTGCTCACCTGGTGAGCTGGGCAGCTCTGCCCTGCAGGTCCACGGAGGCAGAGAGGTGGCTGGGCTGACCTCCATGTGTCTGGTTTTCTCCTCCGTGCAGGCTCATGTCCATTGATGTCAAGTACCAGATCTGGAAGTTTGGGGTCATCTTTACAGACAACGTGAGCAGAGGCCCAAGGGGAGGGCTTTAGGCTGATTAGTGGGCTTAAGTCTCTGGTGTCTCTGACCAAGGACTGGTTCTTGGGACCCTGTCTGTCTCTCATCTCAGGGTACCATCTGCTATGTACAGGCTCCTCATACCCCCAAGATCATACCCTGACTCTCCCAGATCATCCTCTAACTTCCCAGAGTGTCCCCCGTGCCATAGATCATCTCCTAACTCCCTGAGAGTGCTTCATGACCCCCAGATTATCCTCTTAATTCCCCAGAGTGCTTTCTGACCCCCAGATCATCCTCTGACTCCCCAAAGTGCTCTCTGATCCTCAGGTTGTCCTCTAACATAGTACCCCCTACCTCACAGATCAGCTGACTCCCTAGATAGCTCCCTGATCCTTAGATCATCCTCGGACTCTTCAGAGTGCTCCCTGACTTCTTACTCATTCCCTGAACCCTCAGGGTGCTCCCTGTCCCCTAGATCATCCGAGCTCCCTTAGAACGCCCTGAGTTCCCAGACTCCTTCCTTCTACAGAGGGTACTCCAACTTCCCCCAGGATACCTTCCCCCTGAGAGTCTGTTATCACCCCAGAAGGCACTCCCTCCTCCAGACACCCCTGATCACCCTCTCAGGCATTCACACACACGCACCCAGATTGGATATACCAAGGGACTTGGAAAAAAGCGACACGAGTCCTCATACATGAATGTACCTAGCAGCAGTATTCACAATTGCCAAGACAGTGGAAACCACTCAAATACCCATCAACGATGAACGGGTTTTGTTTTTATAAAACATGGTATATCCACACAGCAACATTTTCTCCAGCCTTAAGAAATGAAGTCATGAAACATTGACAATGTGGATGAACCTCAGAAACATTGCTCTAAGTGATAGGAGCCAGTCACAGGACTATACAGAGTAGGCAAATGCACAGAGGGAGATGCAGAATGGCAGGCTCGCTGGCCTTCCTGAGCGGTCCTTGTGCCCACGCTGCTTCCGGCATGATGATCTAACCCTGTGTACCCACAGTCCTTTCTGTACCTGGGGTGGTACATGGTGATGTCGCTCCTGGGCCACTACAACAACTTCTTTTTCGCCGCCCATCTCCTGGACATCGCCATGGGGGTCAAGACACTGCGTACCATTCTCTCCTCTGTAACCCACAACGGGAAACAGGTGCAGAAGGACCCTGGTCAAGGCCAAAGGGTTGTGCCAGGGCTGTGAGCCTGGCAGGTTGGGTCAGGTGGAGGGATGAGGGCTGGATGGAGAGGACTAGGGAAGGGGAAGTCTTGGGGGGGGGGACGAGCCAGGGGCAGATATGGGAAGTGAAGCCCAGGATGCCGGCCAGGGCAGGCCTGGTGTAAAGGCTGACAAGGCTGGGACGAGGCTGGGCATAGCAGAGCGGGAAGAGGCGCGCTGGGCTGAGCCACGTCCTCCCTGCCCCAGCTGGTGATGACTGTGGGCCTCCTGGCTGTGGTGGTCTACCTGTACACCGTGGTGGCCTTCAACTTCTTCCGCAAGTTCTACAACAAGAGCGAGGACGAGGATGAGCCCGACATGAAGTGTGACGACATGATGACAGTAAGCCATCTGCCTGTCCCCACGGCTCTTGGGCAAGTTTTCGACCCTCCCAGACCCTTCATTCTTCCCTAAGTAAAATGAATTGAACGAATTGATGATAAGATAGAAACTACTTTGAACAGAGCCAGACACATAAATGCTCAATAAATGTGGCTGGAGGCCCGAGGTGGCACAGTTTAGCTGCTTAGCTGTTAGTGGAAAAGTTAGCAGTTCCAGTCTACCCAGAGGTGCCTCAGAAGAAAGACCTGGTAATCTGGGGGGGAAGAACCCATAGAAAACCTTAGAGAGCACAGTTCTACCTTGGCACACATGGCATCACCACGAGTCAGAACCTAATTGGTGGCTCCCCCCTAGTGTGTTAATATTATTAGGATTTTTTTAAAGTAAATATTATCAGAAAAGTACTGTAGCAGAGTGTCCACTTTGGAGCTGTGTATTTTGGGGTAGGCTTTTCCCCCTCCTTGTGCCTTTGTTTAATAAGAGTTTCTCCCAAAGTTCAAGCATGCAATACATGGTCATGTTTTCTGTTCTATTAATAGGGAGCTCTGGTAGCCTAGTGGGTAAGGAATTGTGCAGCCAACCCAAAAGCAGGCAGTTCAAATCCACTAGTTATTCCTTGGAAGAAAGATGGGCAGTCACCTCCTGTGTGATTTACAGTCTCTGAAAAACCACTTGAGGGTAGGCCATGAGTTGGTTTCAACTCGATGGCAAAGATAGACTTTCTGTTAATGGGAGTCACAACTCAAATTGATTTTAACCCACGAGTAGCCCTGACTACAGTTGAGAGGCTCATTTCAGGAAACTCCTCAGAAAACATCCAGCTCATGGATCCTCAGCTCTCAGGTCTCAGCCTAGAGTTCGAGCCCCCAGCACACTTGGTCTTGGCTTTGCTCTCACTACAATCACCCGCCTCAACTTTGACCCAGGAGAAGCTGGCTTCTCTTCCCGGAAATACAGAACAAGTGTGGAATCTTTCACAAGTGCTAAGCAAGCCACGCCTCCTTTCTGCTTAGAACCTTCTGATGGCTCCTCAGATAAAATCTGTGCCCTCCAGATAAAATCTCACCCCCTCATGGGGAGGCTCACAAGATCTGGGAGGAGCTGACCGTGCCTGGCTCTAACCACACTCCCACTCGCTCTCTGTGGTCTCTTGACCACCTGGTCTTCTTTCACTTCTCCTGAGGCCCGAGTCTCCTCCTAATTGGACTCTTTACACCTGACATTAACTGTTCTCTCTACCCCAAGCCTGACTTCCACACATAACCCTTTACTTGGCATGTCACCTTTCCCTTTATGTGCTGCCTCCTCCAGGAAGCCCTCCCCAAACAGGGCCTGCTGAGCTCTAGGAACAAGCACCCTCTCGCCTCTTTCCTTGGTCTTGAGACCCTGCCTCACCTCTCCCCTAACCCTGTCTCACCGACAGTCTATTTTCCAGCCCCTCTGAACCGCTTTCAGTTCCTCCCAGTGTAAAATGTATTCTTCCCTCTCATTTGGGTGACTTTATGCATGTGGTTTCTCTGCCTAGAACACTGTCCTCCACCTATTCTTCATGTCACACCTCCTTCAAGTTTCAGCTCACATGGCTGTTCTTCCAAGAAGCCTGCGCTGATTAGCCAGGCTGGGTCAGGGCTTTCCACTGGCTCTCAAAGCTCCTTGCACCCACCTGCCCCTTCCCAGGCCCAGTCTGACCCCTTATCCTTTCCCAAGTCCAGCCTGGCCCCTCCTCCTGTACCCCCCACTCCTGCCAGCCCCAGACTCTGCTCAAGCAGTTCCACCACAGCCCCTCTGCCCACCATGTCTTCCTCCTGTCCCACCCCCACCTGTGCTCACCCTGTCACGGCCCCAAACACTGCTGGACTGTCACATCTCTCTGAACCCCATGAGAGTGGGTCTCCAACCCTGGTGGGGACTGGGTGAATGTTGGACGATGGATAAGTGACTTTTATGTCTCCCCCCCTCCTGCAGTGTTACCTGTTCCACATGTATGTGGGTGTTCGCGCTGGTGGGGGCATCGGAGATGAGATTGAGGACCCGGCAGGAGACGAGTATGAGCTGTACCGGGTGGTCTTCGACATCACTTTCTTCTTCTTCGTCATTGTCATCCTGCTGGCCATCATCCAGGGTTAGCACTAGTTGGGGTGCTTGGAGAGGGAACTAGTGCCCCAGGCAGGCTCAGTCTGCCTGCATTCAAATCCCGGCTCTGCCTCGCCTTACTGTGAGAGCTGGGGCAGGCGGCAGGTGATGTCTTTGGAACTGTTTTTCCATCTGTAAAATGGCAGTGGTCATGATACTAACGAGGGTTTTGTGAAGATTAATTTAACTTGGACTTGCTGAGTCTCTGGCACAAACATAGTAAGTGCTCAGTAAATTCGAGGCTGTGCTCATTCTTTGAAGAAGGAATATAAGGAGATGGGGTGGAAGCCAAGGCCCAGAAATGTGCTGCTGCTGGGGACGAGGCTGAAGTAGGTTAGAGATTGGACATTGACCTGCTTCCTGCAACCCCAGGTCTGATCATTGATGCTTTCGGTGAGCTCCGAGACCAGCAAGAGCAAGTGAAGGAGGATATGGAGGTGAGGCATGTCTGGGGTTCAGGCAGAGGGATTAAGGAATCCTTAGGGGGATGTCATTTGGACCTCAACTCTGTGTCTCCCACCATCCACAGACCAAATGCTTCATCTGCGGAATTGGCAGTGACTACTTCGATACAACACCGCATGGGTTCGAGACCCACACGCTGGAGGAGCACAATTTAGCCAATTACATGTGAGCAAAGGCTCCCTAGCCAATCAGGAAGGATGGGGGTGTGGCCGCCTGAGACCCCAGTGCTGGAGGATGCTCTGTGGACAGTTGGGGGTGGGGTAGTGAGTGAGAATCTGAGAGTGAGAGAGAAGGAGAGAGGGAGGGAGAGAGAGAGAGAGAGGAAGAGAGTGTGTGTGTGTGTGAGAATTCCCAGCCCTCAGCGGTCAGGAAGTTGCTTGGTCTTGACAGCCTCCTCCACCACAGGTTTTTCCTGATGTATCTGATAAACAAGGACGAGACGGAACACACGGGCCAGGTAAGGGGAGGGTCCCGTCTCCTCCCTGACAGTGAGAGAATAAGGGGCAGGATGGAGACAGACTGTAGAACAGAAACCCCTTGTTCTTGAGCCCTTACCAGCTTATAGTGACCCTGTAACAGAGTAGAAACGCCCCATACAGTGTCCAGGACTCATCTCTGCAGGAGCAGCTAGAAAGGTCTTTCTGCTGAACAGCTGGTAGATTCCATCAGGGAATAATGCAAGAGCATATCAAGCATCCCAGGATGTGACCACTGTGTTCTCCTCCCTCTCTTGAAACTCTAGGAGTCCTATGTGTGGAAGATGTATCAGGAGAGATGCTGGGACTTCTTCCCGGCTGGTGACTGTTTCCGCAAGCAGTATGAGGATCAGCTTAGCTGAGACACCCCTGTTGGCCCCTCCATCCCCACCTCAAGTGCCTTATCCTCACCACAAGTCCCTTCACCCCCCCCCCAGCACCTCACCTCTCCCCGGTCAGATGAGGGAGAGCTGAGCTGGTACTGGAGAAATAAAGCCTGTGCTATACCCCCCAGCACCACTGTGTTGGGTTTTGGATTCTGGATCGGGAGAATGAGCATCTGGGAATTCTGCCCTCAATTTCTGAAAAACTTTCTGACAGCAGAGGTTGAAATCACGTTTATTTGGAGACAAGACACATGGCAGGACCACTAGTGTGTGTCTGTTGGCACAGTGAGGGGTTGGGGCAAGGACTCATTCCTCATATCCCCTCAGGGACTCATTCCTGGATGTAGAGGTTACTGGGGGCAGTGGGATCATCGGCTGGGCGTGTCTCCACCACCACAGGCCTGGGGAAGGAAAGGAGAAGTCATTTCATTCATTCACTTATTCCTTGACAAAGTGCCAGCCCCATGCTGAGCTGTAGGGGTGAATGTTCACATGTGTACCCTTTCTTTGGGGTGGTCACAGCTACAGTGGGAGACAAATAAAAATCATCAAATGGGGGAAAAAATCATCAAATGATGTGAGCGTGCATATGCAAAGGGTTGGAAAGTAGGAAACCTGATCCAGGCGGGCAGATAGGGTTACCCTTAAAAGTTGGAAAGTGACCCTGGAACCTGAAAGAAGCTCCAGAAGAAAGTCGGCCAAAGGGGTAGAGAAGAGTGTTCTATTAGCAGCCCAACATGTAACCCACCAGGTGACCAAAGACCCTTTTCTTATAAATAATAGGTTCAAGGCCAAATCAATAATCAATCCATAGATACTACAACCAAGGGGAGAAAGTCTGGTGAGAAAGAATCTATTGAGTCTCAGTGGCTCTCCCTAGACAGTACATACTATTACAAAGACGAAAGCGTAACCTTACAGTAGAAAAATCTGGCTGATTGCACCTTAACTAAATGACAATGATGTATACTGATATCATGACCTTCCCTGATAGGATGTATCAATGAGTTTTTGGTATTCAAGCCATCAGTGCGTGACCTGGCAACCTCAAACGAGCCTGCTTGAGGGACATTCACAAAACAACCTTGAGCTCTTTACAAGGAAGCTCTGGTGATAGTCCAGACAGAATTGTGTTGTAACCCAGAGGTGGCACTCCTCTGACAGTTTGAATCCACCAGCAGCTTCTCCATGGGAGAAGAATAGGCAATCTCCTTCATGTCATTTACAGCCTCCAAAAAAACAGCTGGAGGGTCAGCCATGAGTTGGTTCTAACACAATGGCAATGAATTGTTGGCTTTGTACTCATGAAAAGCATCAAAATCACGAAAGACCAAGCCTCAAGTCCTGTCTCAAGATTCCTGGCTAAAGACTAAAACTACTTGACTTCTAAACGCAACCTGTGATCCTGGATTAGAATATATTATTTTGTTCTAAAAGGCACCATTGCAACCACTGATGAACAAGCATATGGATTAGAAGATAGTGATATCTGTTACTTTATTAACTTTGAAGCCTGCAATGTGGTTTGTATAAATGTATGTATTTGCTTTGATTTGGGAAATACATGCCAAAGCATATATATCAAGGTAAACAGTCATCATCTCTGCAACTTTCTCTCGAATATTCCCACAAAAGAGAGAAAGTGAAAGGCAAATAAAAGCAAATGCCTTTTTTTTAAGTTAACACCTGGGAAACCTCAGTATAGTTACTGTGTTATTGCTCTGTACCATTGAGTCAGAACCCAACCATAACTGACTCTCCAGTGGGTCTTCAGAGACAGTAAACATAACAGGAGACTGCCACAGAGCAGCTGGGACATTCAAACCACATCTTCATGTTGGCAGTGCAGCTCTTCACCGCTAGATCACCAGAGCGCCCTACTCAATATAGTAGTTGTTGTTGTTGTCGTCGTGTACTATACAGTCGGAACCAACCATAGACGACCCCTCCTGTGGGTTCTCAGAGGCAACTAATCGCCCAGGAGGAGATTACCCATCCTCCCTCAAAGCAGCTGACGGCCTCAAACTGCCTTTGGGATTGCAGCACAGCTTCTTGACACGAGGCCACCAGAGCTCCCATTACTCAATACAGAGGACTGATAATTTTTAAATGGTTTTTGCAACATTCTGTTAAATCTAAAATTACGTCCAAGTTGTTTCTGTTAGGTGTCATTGAGCATGACTCATAGCGACCATATGAGCAACAGATTGGAACCCTGTCCTATCTTCAAACTTCCTGACACACCAGAGCCCAGTGCGCCAGTCACCCCATCAATCCACATGGTCGAGGTTCTTCCTTTCCTTCGCCGAACCTCCAGCGTTCCCAGCATCGTGTCCCTCTCCAAGGAACAGCCCCTTCTAGCAACATGCCAGAAGCATGCTTTGCCTCACTGTCTTCGCCTCCAAAGAGCGCTCTGGCTGCACTTTATCCAAGACATATTTGTTCTCTTGGCCGTCCATGGGATGTTCGGTGCTCTTCTCCAAGACCACAGCTCAAAGGCATCAGTTCTTCTGTCATCCTTATGAATTGTAATTGATGCAGCTCTCAGATGCAAGTGATTGGAAAGATTGCTTGAGGCATTGAACACCAATGAGTTGTGAGATGATATCAAGGATATCATCCATGAAGAAAGCAAAAGGTCATTATAGAAACAAAGGCAAAAGAAAAAGTAAAATGGATGTCAGAGAGACCATAAAAATTATACTGGAGCATCGAGAAGCCAAAACAATGAGAAAACATACCGAAGTAAAAGAGCTGAACGAAAGATTTCAAAGGGCAGGTCGAGAGGACAAAGGAAAGTATTACAATGAAATGTGCAGAGAGCTGGAAATGGAGAATAAAAAAGGAATAATTTGCTCTGCATTTCTCAAGCTGAGAGAACTGAAAAATTTAAACCTCGAGCTGCAACGTTGAAAGAGGTAATGGGCAATATATTTACTGAAAGACCCAGAAAGCATCAAAAGAAGATGGAGGGAATACACAGAATCACTGCACCAAAACAAATTGACTGACACTGAAAACTTTCAGGAATTACCATGTGAACAGGAGCCAATAGTAATGAAGGAGGAAGTGGAAGCTGCACTGAAGACACTGACAAAAATAAGGCCCCAGGAATGGATGGGATACCAATTGGCTTTTTTCAAATAACAGATGCAGCCCTGGATGTGCTCACCAGTCTATGCCAGGAAATCTGGAGGACAGCTGTCTAGCCAATGGATAAGAAGAAGTGTGTATTTGTTCCTATTCCCAAGAAATGTGTTCCAATAGATTGTGGAAACTATCAAACAGTATCATTAATATCACATACAAGCAAAGTACTGCTGAAGATCCTTCAAAAGCAGCTAGAACAATATATAGATAGGGAACTGACAGAAGTTCAAGTATGGATTTAGAAGAGGCACTAAGGATACCATTGCTGATGTCAGATGGATCCTGGCTAAAAGTCAAGAATACCACAAGAATGTCTGTTTGTGCGTTATTGACTATGCAGAGGTATTTGACTGTGTGGATCATAAGAAGTTGTGGCTGACATTGAGAATGTACAAGTAAAAGTCTCCTTAGCTCCTGGAGAGGTGGAGGTGGGGGATAGACAATAGAATAGGGAGAAGGAATGGAAATAAGGAGACCAGGTTAAAGATTATCCAGATAACACCCCAGAGTGCTTGCTCCACATGAGAAGTCCCTCTCTCAAGTGTTTCTAACCCTCCACCCCCCACCCACCCCAGATCATACCTGGGAGAGCCAAGAAGACGGAAAGTGAGGGTGGGGTCTCTCAGCTCCTGCAGCAGCTGAAGGGAAAGTATACGTGTGTCAGTGTCTGGAAGACTCTTCCTCCACCTCTAAAACAAAGCTCCCTTGATGAGAGCAGGGGAAATGTCTAAACATTCTGTGAGATGAGAACAGTTTTTCTCTCCCATTTTCAGTTGAGGAAAATGAGGCCCAGGAAGGTTAAGTCTTTTGCTGAAGGTCCTTCAGTTGGGTTTCAACCCAGGCAGTCTGTCTGGTTCATGCTCTAAACCACCACGTCTCTCTCTATTTCTTAATAACCCCCCATTTCACAGTTTGGGAACCAGGCTAAGGGAGCACTGATCCCCAGCATCACATCTCACATCAGCACAGGATAAGGCCTGGACTTAAAGGACCCTGAGGTAGAGAACGGGACCTGTATGAGCTGAGATCAGAAGGAACCACGCCAGGTCTTACCCCCGATTCAGTTCTCCCAACCCATCCAGGAATGCTACCACTGAGGCGGTGAATGTGGGTTTAAGGAACTTACCTGGTCTGAGCCAGGAGCCCACACCTGCACTCCATGCTTCCAAAAGGCCTGGAGTCGACCGCCAACTATAGCTGGGGGAGAAAGTGCTCTGTTATCCACCCTTGGGGACCATTTGGCCTCTGCTCCCATGCCAGGACTTCTCATGCCAGCACCTACCCACAGCTTCCACTGCTTCACTCATAGGTATCTCTGGGGTGCGAAGCCCTCTGACTGGAGCACCCTCCGGGGTCACCAGTTTCAAAGAGCCTGCAACAGAGTGCAAAACATGTTTTAGTGTGGGCTAGGATGAGAGAACAAGTAGTAGATTCAAGTGGGAGAAGCAAAGCAGATCTGGAAGAGATCTTAAGTAGCTTGATGTTTCCTTTCTAAGAGGCAGAGAGGAGCTTGGGACAGAGAGCCAGCCACTGTGCTTGGGGAAACATTCTTACCATCCATCAAAACCATTACCATGTCTTCTTCCACCTGGGTCACCTGCACTGGCCCCTTGTGTTCTGTTTCAGAGAAGGGGGCAAGCCCCTGTGTTAAGACCTTCTTCCAGCAGTATGAGCTCTGGTGACCTAGCCTATAGGGAATTGGACTGCTAACCCCAAAGGCTGTACCTGTCTGGCGGTTTGAATGGGAGAATGATAGGCAGCCCTCTTCTATGCCATGTATGGTCTCAGAAACTCAACGGAGGGTCTGCTATGACTTGGCTCCAACATTAGAGATGGTTTAGGTGGTTTTTTCCTCCCCAAATACAGACTAAACTCTGCCTATTATACAGGCCCCGCCCCTTCAGCAATCTCACCCTTTCATAAATGGTAAACAAGACCAGTTTTGAGGGGCAAACTCCATCCTTCCTCGTTCACATCTTGGGCCAACCACCGCCACTCACCGGTGCTCATCTCGCCCAGCCAGCAGGAGAGGGCGCCAAAGCGCACGGTGTGGAAGAACACGGAGCGCGCGGGCTTCCCCTGGCTCACGCCGATGCACACAGCGGGCAGCTCGGAGCCCGGCGCCGTGAGCAGGGCGAACACCCGCAGGGGCGACGGCAGCGGGAACAGCACCTGCTGCGGGACAGAGAGGCGAGGGGCTCGAGCCTGCGGGCGAGGCTGGCGAGAGGCCTGGAAGGAAGAGCTCCCGAGCATCTCTAGAACCTCACTGCTGGTGGTGCATTCTGCAAGTGGAAGATGTGAGGTGCGATCTGCTTAGAAATGTTCCAAAGGAGCGTCATTGGAGGCATGGCTTCCGCTGCAGGGCCTGCCATATTGGTGGAGGGGAGGCCGGCCCTCGATTTGAGGAGCCCCAGAAAGGCGTAGGGTCTAGGACTGGAAGATGGTTAATTAGCCCCAAATTCCAACTGCTAACTCAAAAGCGTTGCCCCTCTGGCAGTTCTAATCCATCAGCACCTCCAAGTAAGAAAGACAGTCTCGCTCGTGCAGTTTATAGCCCGGAAACCCACTGGAGAGTCAGCGGTAAGTTGCCTCTGATTGGACTACAGTGAGTTTGTGCTTGAGTGTCGGGTGGAGTTTAGGGATCAAATCAGAAAGCCTCAGGCAGTGCTGCTCTGGGCGGGGCCTCGCGTGCCTTTGCAGCGCTAAGCGAAGCGCTCTGGGAAGGAGCTTCCACCCTGCCCCTCCGGCCGCCTACCCGGACTAGCAGAAACTTGTTCATGGGCTGGTACCACTGGAGCAGGACCACGGACGTCTCCAACGCCCCGCACAAGAACGGACCTCCGGAGCTCGCCCCTTCCGCTGCGTGGGTAGGAACGGATCAGAGTCCGTCTTCTTTCGCTGCCCTTCACCCTGTGACCAGCACACCTCTCTCCCTGGGCTAGTCTCTCGGTCCTTACTCTGCCTCCTTCTCTGATGGACGCCGCCCCAAGCCCCACCCCGGGCCCAGCTCAGCAGCCCCTCCGCTCACCACCGGGCCTCTCACCCACACAACATGCCCGGCAGCCTTTAGTGTCCTGGATCTTGATGGAGACCATGTTCTTCCTGCAGAAGATGACCAGCATGAATAGGGGAGCAAACAGCAGCAGGGGACCTCCAGGATTCCACGTGGGGACTGATACCTTGCTAGCAGCCGGTGGGGACTAATGTGAGCAATGGGGCTCCCCGCTCTGCTCTCTTTCCGCTCCAGCAGGCCCAGGATGCTATGAGAATACAGGTGGGGAGTCTTTCCTGCAGCGCGTGCGTACGTTGGGGAAAACAGGGAGTTATAGGACCCAGGATATCCCTCCTGCCCCCATGCTCTCACTTTGCCCCATCTCTGCCTGAAACTTCCAAGTCTGCACCTTTCATTCATTCCCATTCCACTCAACCTATAGTACTGTTTGCTCCTGGGTAGTGCAAACGTTAAGCCATTAACTACTAGCCACAAAGTTGGCAGTTAGAACCAGTTAGTAGGGCCTCAGATGACATGAGGCAATCCAATTCTAAAAACAAGTTCTACTTTGTACAAGGGGCCTCATGAGTTGGAATCAACCAGGTGCAAGCAACTAACATGATGTAAGCTTTGTGTGGCTCCGTGGTTATTCACAAGGTTGGAGGTTTGCATTTATTCTGAAGTGCCTTGGAAGAAAGGCCTGGTGATCCACTTCTGAACTAAAAGCCACTGAAAACCCCATAATATGGAGGTTCAATCTCCCACACAGTCACCATTAGTTTGAACCAGCTTGTTTTCAGCTGGTTTAGTATTAGACCAGCTCTAGTGAAACATGGTGTAGAAAATGAATATGTTCTCTACCTTGTGAAGCTTGTAAGTTTATTTAAAAATAAACAAAAGCCAAACAGTCAACATTGACTTTGAGTCCATTTTGACTTATGACAACCCCATGTGTGTTACAGAGAGGGTACTTCCTAATATTTTGAAGGCCATGGCTTTTTGGAAGCAGATTACCCTGCCTGCCTTCTGAGGCACTTCTGGGTAGACCTGAACTTCTAACTTTTCAGCTAAAAGCACTTAACTGCCAGCATAGCTGTATAAGAAACTACACTTAGGCGAGCTCTCGTGGTCTAGTGGAAAGAAGCTGCACTGTAATCCCAGAGGTGCGTCATTCGAATCCACCAGATGCTCTGCTCGAGGAGGGGCAATCTCCTCCTGTACCAGTCAGACCTGATTTGACGGTACACACAAAAAATTAAAAAAAAGAAAAGAAACTATACTTAACCAGTCAGGTATAACAAGTATCACAAGTTTAAAAAGAAACCTATTGTGATGGATACTTTTCTAATAACCACTTGGTTAGGCTATAATTTCCAGTGGCTCTTTGTCAAACAGAAGAGTACTGAGTGTACTATGGACTGCTAAGAAAACAAACAGATTCATCCTAGAGAGGGTTAAACCGGGCTGCTCCTTGGAGGCAAGGATTCTGGGGCTTCATCTGACATACTGTGGACTTGTTGTAAGGAGGGAGAGGTCCTTGGAGAGGGACATCATGCTTGGGAGGGTAGAGGGACAGACCAGGAGGGGAAGACCCTCTATGAGTTGGATTGATTCAGTGACTGGGGTAATTGGGATAGGTGTATCAGAGACAGTGCAATTGGCACAGGATAGAGCAGGGTTTAGGACTGTTGTACTAGGGCCACTATGAGTCTCAAGCGACTTGATGGCACATAACAACTTTGTCAAACACTTGCAGATTGCAGCTTCCTTAGATTACTGAATCACCTTCTGTAATGTCATCTAATGTGATGATGTCATGTTGTTATATACCATTGAGTTGAACTGACTCATAGCTGCCCTCCAGTAGCTTTTCAGAGCCTAGAAATCGAATGAGAGGTGACTGCCCATCTTTCTCCAGAGCAGCCGGTAGATTCGAACCATATGACTTTGGGCTGGCAGTGCAACTCCTTATCCACTAGACCATTGGAGCTCCCTTATGTGATGTCATATCTAATCAACCAATCCACTGAATCCATTGTTCTGCCTTCAGACTACAAATACAGACCTTGGCAGAACTTACCTTAAGATTGAAGGGAGACAGGGACGATTGTGAGCTATGTTTTACAGATGAGGAAACTGAGGCTCAGAGAACAGGAGTCACTTATCCTAAGTCTCACAGTGGAAGAGTGGCTGGGATTTGAACTAAAGGCTATGTGGAGGGGGAGCCTAAGTTTTCCTCACTGTGCCCACCTACCTCTCAACCTCTTGGCTCCTGAGCCCCCCATCCCTCCTACCTAACCCACAGCCAGACCTGAAAGTGACATGAGGACATTGTTGATGGAGTACACCCAGGTGGTCCGGCCAGGGAAGAGCTGAAGAAAATGAGGGAGACCGCTTCTGTAACACCCCAGGAATGCCAACTGCACCTCACCCTTGCCCTGCTATAGATGTCACCACTCACCAACTCTAGTGTGGCCTCCTGATCACTCCGGTTCAGGATGAAAATGCCTTCCTCTGCCCCTAAGAGCAGGTGCTGATCTGGAGAAGACATACAAGGACACTGAGACAGGCTTTATCCTGGAGTGCTTCCCAAATCACCACCCACCTGAATCCTGAGACTGGCCCCCAGCTCTGACCCTCTCTAATTCTCATTTCCAAACCAATGTTCTCCAAATTTGAACTTGAACCCTGGCCCCGTCCCTTACCTTGGTCTCCTCACCTACCTTTGACTTCCCACAGCCTAGTGGTTCTGCCACCGGTGACCTGGAAATCCTGACCCTTTGTCACCTCAGTTCAGTCTCCAAACTCAGACCCTCTGTCTCCCACAATAACCCCTTCACTCTAAGCTGCAAGACCTATACTTCTCTCGATCCAGTTCTAATCCCTAAATTCTTACCCTGTTGATCATCAGCATTGATCATCAAACTTTCAGAAACTCAAGCTGTTCAAGTCCTCAGATGTGGCTATTTCAGTTCTCTGTGACTCCTCATACTTTGCTTCCCTTTCCTTTATGTTTGCCCCTTACTGACGTTGTCTCCACCTCTTTGATCCCCAGACTCTGACCCTTCCTGTTGTATTCTCATTCCCCAAACCCCTGATCCCAGAATGATGTCTCCTCAACATTAGCATCCTTCTATCCACCATCTTGTACCCCAAACTAAGACTGTTCAGCTCTCTTCTGAAATAGAGCCCCCAAACGCGAGTGTTCCTAGTTCTCACTCTTAAATTGACCTTTACCCATGCTTGGCCCCCACATGATAAATTTAACTCTGCCCTGTCTCAGCTTTGCCATGCCCTTTCTTTGGAAATTCCTGGTGGCACAAGGTTTACAGCTTAGCTGCTAAATAAAACAACGCAGACTTCCAATCCGCCAAGAGAACAATGAGGCCATGTTTGCTGCAGAGCCAGAGCTGACTCCACAGTGCGAGTTGGGTTCAGGCTTTTGTCTCTGCCTTTCTCCTTCCCTCCAGCCTCCTCCCATCCCTCCCCTGACCCTCCTGGTGCCCACCTTGGGTAGAGGGATGAGTCCAGGCAGCTGTGCTGTGGATCCGGAGGGGGCAGCCATTGAACAGTTTTACGAGGAGGGCACATCCCTGGGCAGACGTGGAGGGAGAACAGCAGGCCCGGCAGATAGATGTCAACATAAAGGTACCAAAGAAGAGGAAGGGGTGGCACTTCAGACGACAAAGTCTGAAGTCAGAAAGTTCAGATTCTCTGTCTCTTCAAAGTTTATGACCCTGGGAAATTTACTTCACCTTTCTGTGTCTCAATTTACCCATCTGTAAAATGGGGGTGATATCTACCTGTGTGAAGACTTAAACATGTTACACCACATAAAAGTATAAAGGCTGAGGAAATACTTAATAAATATCAGCTATTAACAGTAAATTACTAAGAGTGCCATCCACTTCCTAAACAACATGCCTCTGGAAACTCTATGAACTTTGAGAAACGACGATAGTTATAGAAAAGCCTTAGGTTTTTTGTTCATAGGTCACTATGAGTCGTGCTCGACTCGATGGCAGTCAACAACATTAGTGTATGTATTAGGACGTTAGTGTATTTGTGGTCCTTCACAAATGTCAGCTATTATTATTATCACTGATCTCCCTAATACCCTCCCAGGCACCCAATCCCAGCCCATACAAAAACATGCGTCCTCACCTTCTTTTTCATCTTTTCTTTTTTAGGGGGCAGCCTTGGGGGCTGGACAGGTTCTCGGGGGACTGGGTTCCAGAGTGAGGGTTCTGAGGAGTTGGGGGAAAATCAGCCCTTGGTATCCCCTTCACCCCTGAGCACCCCTTGCCCTGGCCTCCCCTGTTACCTGAATGAGCTGTGAGGTGGGAGCTGCAGGTGGCTGGGGGAAGCACAAGATGGGGTGTCCGTGGGGGAGGCCCACTAGCACATCGGACCAGCACCCCCGGGCTCAGCTGCCCCTCATCCCCAGCCCCCACAGGACCATCATCGGATGGAGAACGGAACTTGGGCTTTGGGGATCGGAAAGAGACACAGGAAAGCATGTCAGGTGATCTCAGGGAGTAGCACCTATAACATCAAGCCCCCTAACCCTTGGCAAAATTGAAATTCAGTGGCCTACCCCCCCCAGTATCCCTACCGCCACCCAACCCTCCCCCAGGACCTCCTTCCCGGGCCCTTTATGCACTCTGGCAGCTCAAGGGTTAATGCTGGATGCAGCAGAGGGGCGCTGGGACCAAGCACTTACCAGTGTGCCCTAGGCTTAATGCTTTGAATGTCATCCCTAAGTTCAAGGATGCCACTTCCAGATCCCAGCATGCCATCATCCCAGCCCTCAAGGGACCCGATGCCCCAGATACTCAGCCCTAGAGATCTCAGCTTCTAAGGACTTCCACCTCAGGGCCTTACCTTGGGGGGTAGTGGTGGAGGTATGTCTTCTGCAGGGATGGGGCTGAAAGACAAAGATGGGATAAGAGAGCAATGGGGTGAAGAATGGAAGGGGTCTAGGGAATAAGGACTAGGATGAAGTGGAGTGATTCAGGGCTGGGGGGCTGGGACTGGGGTCTGAGGTCAGGAAAGTAAGAGGGTACTCAATCTAGGCTGGAACTGAGGACTAACAAGCTTGTTGATAACAGTAACAGCAACTCTGGAACATGGAATGCTCGCATTAGGTCTTCACAACCACCTCATACCCCATACAAGCCGTGTAGACTGAATGAGTGAGCTGATATTGGGTCTGGGGTCCACGGCTGGCTGTTGAGGTTGACGTTTTGGTTCAGGGGTTGAGGAACTGAATTTCTGAATTTGGGGAATTTCTGGGTGCCGATATTCAGCCTGAGGTTGAGTGAGGATAGAAAGAAAGGTGAGGGACTTGAGGACTGGGGCTCAAGTTGAGATCTGAGTGTGATCCCAGAAGGTGGAACCCCACCCGGAAGGAGCTGGGGCCGAGCCTGTGGCTGAGGGCTGAGGGTGAGGAGAAAGCTCAAGACCAAACTGGAAGGAACTGGAATTGGGTCTGGGATTTAGGACATGTGAGAGCTGAAACTGGAGGTCAGGTCAAAGGGAAAAGGAAAGTGGAAAAAGGAAATTGGGGGTGAAGGTAGGTAAAGGTTGAAGCTGGGATGGGGCTGAGGATAAAGGAAGTGCAAGGCCAGGATGAGTGCTGGCTTTGGGGTCAATGTCTTGGAGTGAAGCAGGGTGTCAACTGCCCAAGATTCAGTCAGCTCAGAGGTGGAAAAGGAACTCAGAGACTGAGGTGGGGTCAGAGGTGGAAGATAAGTGGGAGTCAAGTTGGGCTTTGTGGCCTCAGGCCAGGGTCTCTCTTACATGTCCACGTCATCATAGTCATCATCAGATTCTGACAGGTTCCCCCTGAAGAATGACAGACATGAGCCGCAGGCCTCTCCCCATACACCCCAGCCCCTCCCCTGCCACCATGGGAGTCCCTGACCTGGGACTGCTGCTCCTGCTGTCTCCAGAGGGGTGGCAGAGCCCCTGTAAGAGGGGAGAAGGATCAACGGGGGCTGGGGGGACGTAAGGGCTGCCTGGGGAGCACAGCAGGTGGGGCAGCGGCTCACCATCTGGGCTGGCGGTCTGGACTCCACTCCATGGAGCCTCCTGAACTCCATGTGGCGCCCTGTGAGGTGGAAAGGAGGTTACCATGGCGCAGAGGTTGTAAAAGCAGATTTGGGAATCAGAAGAATTCAGGTTGGGGCCAGGGTTATGGGGATTGGAACTGCCCTTCATGGAATCTTGGGGGTCCCCTTTGGGGATCAAGGAAATGAGGGTCCAAAGTAGTTAACAGAGGCCTCTGTGAGGCCTTTGAACATCAAGGGTCTATTTGGCCACTAGTAGTTACAAAAAGATTCCTGAGGTCTTTTGGGGGGGGGGTCAGGGTAAGTGACGGGGTCACATGGTGGTCTGTTTGAAGAGCAGGGAGGTGAGAGGGTTCTGTGGTCACTATGTGGGTCAGGTGGTGATGATAAGGTCTCTGAAGTCACTGAATTCAGGTTGTTGGGGCCAAGGCCTCAGATGGTCTGATGGGGTCTCTTGGTTCTATTAGAGGAATCAGGTGTCCCCAAACTCAAGGACTCTGTACTCACGACTGCAGTCAGCATCAGGGATCCCCAGGGAGCTGGAGCGATGGGTGGAGCGGATCCGCCGAGGGATGGCAGGGGGTAGCTGAACCGATGACATCGTGTGAAGGCCTGGTGAGCCCCTAGCCCGGCCCCTCCTGGCCCCGGTGACCCTCTGTGCACACAGCTCTGGTGCACATGCCCCCTCTTCTCTTTCTGAGAGGCCCTGGGAGGCAGTCTAGGGAGCTAGAATGCCTGAATCAAGGCTGGGAGGTCCCAGTGCTTTTGTCAGCAGGGGCTTCCTCACCTCGGGCTCCTCATCCTCTGTCTCACCAACTGGGGACCCCTTCTCTGGATTCCTCAGTTTTTCCAGAAGGTCTAGGATCAGGCCTCTATTCAGCCCAGACTGGGACACCAGTTGATGCTGGGAAAGGGACAAGAGCGAGTCAGCAAACAGCAGGTGGGTCAGGAACAGAGGGCTGGACAGACTTTGAGAATCTTGGATGGTGAGGGGAGGTGCCAATTGAGGGAAATGCCAGGGAAGCCTGGAGAAGTTCTGACTGGGAGTTCTGAGTAGTTTCAAGGAACCAGTAGACTCTGGGTGAGCTCCGGGGACCTGCAGGTAAGAAGCTGTGCTGCTAATCCAAAGGCATGTGGTTTACACACCAGCTGGCTCCTCTCATGTGACTTACAGCCTCCGAAATTCATCCCCGGGATGGTCACCCATGAGCTGGAGGGTCAGCTGCAGCTTGAAGACACACAACAACAACAGAAGTCCCTGGGATTCCTGGGAAGGAACTCCACAAGTGTCTTCAGGGGAATGACCCCAAGTGGGTTCCTGCGACCCTGCAGGCCAGAGCAGAACTGCCCCATGTGCTTTCACACGTCAGTCTTTATAAGAGTAGACTGCCTCATCTTTCTTCCTTGGAATGGCTAATGAATTTAAACCTCTGACCTTTTGGTTAGCAGCCTAACAGCCGACAGCATCACCAGATTCCTTAGAGGGGACTAAGGTTTCCTTGAATTCCAGAAGGCATCTGGAATGGATCTTGAGGCCCTTGGAAATGTGTGAGTTCTAACAGACAGCTCAGGGCACCTTGGAGTACCACTTGGAGGGACTTGATAGATTCTGGGGAATTGTAGGGAACAAGAAACTTTAAAATGAGCCCTGACAGCACAATGTTTAAAACTCTAGGCTGTTAACCCAAAGATTAAACCCACCAGAAAAAAACCTATCAATCTACTTCATAATAATTAACTCTATGGGGCACTTAGTCTTGCAGGGTTGCTATGAGTGGAACCAGCGGGAGACAGTGCACCACAATAGAGGCTTAGAACGTGTCTTGGGTCTGTGGGACTAGATCTACAGAGTTTTAGAAGCTGTGAAAGGCCCTGGGAATTCTAGGTGGAGGCAGGAGTTTGGAGGAGGGTTTCTCAGAGAGGTGAGGTTTACACTCAGCATCTTGGTGGCTCCAGGTCGTTTCTTGGGGTTCTTAGTGAGGGTGACTTTGACAAAGTTGTGGAAGGCAGCTGACCTTGAAAGAAAGAAGCCAGATTCCAGAGTGAGGGGCTAGCAACCTTCCCATCAGCCCAACTAGCCCCTAGTTCCAGCCACTCCTCCTTCCTCCCTCCCTCCCACCCATCACCGTCTCTCACCATTTTCCCTTTTCCTTCAGCCGAGGTGGCTGGTAACCACTCTTGGTCATGAGGAAGAGAACTCTAGAAGAGTAAGAGGGGAGAACATGAGGTTCAGAACCTCACTTGAGGGTCAGATCTCTTGGTGTGTGGGGGCCCCCCAGAACCTCCCAGACAGACAGGATGGGAAGGTGGTTCCATTCTGCTAACGCACAAGGATGCTGTCTCGAGTCACTACTGACCACATTATGGGGCTCCCAGCTTTGGGGGCTCCTGGTGTGCAGAGTTAAATATAAGGCTTTCTAGGTTTGGGGAACCCTTAGAGACTTCAGCCTTGGCTTATGGAAGATCCTTGTAGCTGGATCTTGAGAAGACATGCCAGGAGGATGGGTCAAGATCAGCTGCCCTAACACCTACCGGAGAGGGTGCACGTCAAAGAGCGGGGGCTGCAACTCGGCCAGCTCAATGGCTGTGATGCCCAGGGACCAGATGTCACACAGCTCATTGTATCCCCCCTTCAGGGCCACAGCTGCCACTTCTGGAGCCATCCTGTGGGGCAGAGACCCTCAGAGAGCCAGGGATGACACAAGGAGGAGGAGAGGGGGAGGGGAGAAACCTCCGGGCGTAGTGAGTTGAGGGAGGTGGAGAGAGAAAAGAAGAGGGAGACAATGGGCAGGGGAGATGAGGCCTAGAAAAAAGTCCGATGGAGAAAGAAGAAATAAAGGCAGGCACAGAGACAGAAAGACAAACCGACACAGACTCAGAGGGAAAATGAGAAATAGAGCTGGAGAGACAGTTGTTGTTGTTGGGTGCCAGCAAGTCAACCAAAACTCACAGCAACCCTGAGAAGAAGAGATGTGAACCTTGCCCTGTCCGTCCCATCCTCCTGATCTCTGAGAGAGAGCAAGAGAGCTTCACAAACAGAGAGGAATAGGCAGGGAGTGGTCCAAGGAAAGAGGAAAACTCCAGAGAGCCAGAAACAACAGAAAGGTCCTGAGAGACTGCTGTGGGGAAAGGAAGCAGCCCAGCTGCCCACCGAGCCTCACTCACCAGTAGGGTGTTCCGATGAAGGAGAGGCGTCGAGCCAGCGTAGCCCCGATCTGGGCCGAGATACCAAAGTCAGCTGGAGGCAGAGAAAGATTCAGAATAACCTGGGGTCTCCCATCTACCCAGGACCCCCAGCTAGTCCCCCTGGGAATCCCCCAATAGCCACACTCACCCAGTCTGACCTCCCCAGCATCATTGATAAGAATGTTGGCTCCCTAGAGGTGAGAAGGGTTGTCAGAGACCCCTGCCCAGTCCAGCACCAGGACCACCACCCTCCAGCTCAACACCGCCTTGTTCCCTGAGGCCCTCAAGTGCCGTCCTCATGCCTTGGGAGCCCCACCTCCTAACACCATCACTGTACCCCCAGATCACCACCTTGATATCCCGATGTATCTTCTTCTGTGAGTGAAGATAGGCGAGTCCCTGGGGAGTAGGGTAGGAAAAGATGGCTATGAATTGGGGATACATTTTGTAAGTAGGGCCCTGTCCCCATGCAGGCCCAACCAGGCCAGTCCTCACCTGAAGCACTTCCCGACAGACATAGCCAATCTGTAGCTCAGACAGTGGGCCCGTCACTGCAAAGGTCACACAGTCCAGGGGTGAGTGGAGGCCAGGAAAATCTAGTGTGGGTGTCCCTCACTCCCATAACTGGAGAAGTGCCTCAGGGAAGGGGCAAATAGGATGGGACAAGTGGGAGAGGGAGACAGAGGGCCAGTCGGCCACAGAGTGTGGAGGAGACGGAAGTCAGACTGAGGATACACACAGATCAAGACTCACTCAACAGACTTTTAGGATGGAAGATATTCTGGGGGCAAAGTGGTTAGAGACTCCAGCTGCTAACCAAAAGCTCAGCAGTTTTGACCGACGAGCCACTCCGAGGGAGAAGGACGAGGACACCTCCTTCTGTAAAGCTCTCTATGGTCTTGGAGACCCAGCTTGACTTTGTTTTACAGGGTTGTTAAGAGTCTGAAGCATCTCAGGGGAATGGGGGGCTGGGGTGACAGGCAGGAACATGGATGGCAGAGGGGATACAGTTATGAATCAAAACAATGCTCCACGCCTTCCTGGAGAGAACTTTTCAGTGGGAACAAGAAGGAAGGCGAGATATAACATACTCTAATCAGGGAGGTCCAAGAAGGATCCCCAGAGAAGAGGGCAGTGGAAGCCACCCATTCCACATGATCAGCACAAGGGCCAGGAGGTGGAAGTGTGCCTGGTGAATCCGAAAAATAGAAGAAGGTGGGTGAGCTGACTGGGGAAGAGGAAAGTGTAGGAGGTGAGGTCAGGCAGCTCAGGGAGTGTCAGATTCACGGGCCTTGGAGTTCTCCTTGGAGGGAAGCGGAGCCACAGAAGGCTCTGAACAGCCAGCTGATGTTGCAAAGAGAGGGAATACAGAAGGCAGGGGGACAGAAAGACCTGGACCCAGGGACAGATCCAAGGTGAGACAATGAGGAAGGGAGAGATGGTGGAAGACCAAGGTGTGGGAAAGCCAACAACCTGTCAGAAAGACAGACATGGAAGGGTAGAGAGGGACCAAGAGGGGGAGACAAGAAACAGGGAGGATAAACAGAACAAAGCCTGACAGTGGCTCTGAGTCACTTCCTCTCTGGGATCCTCAGTTTCCCCCCTCTGAGGACTTCTAATAAGGTTTTTTTCTGCACTCATACTTGGGGTTTTGGCTGAAGGGAGTCTGGGAGATGGTTGAAGACAGAGGTTGGTACTGAAAAATGCAAATTCTCAGAGAAAAGTTGAAAGGCAGGTGCTGAGAGAGAGAGGGAGAAAGAGAGAGCGCCAAGAATTCACTCTCTTTCACTAAAAATGAAGACACTTCACTACAGCCGTGGGAGAAGGATGGGCAATCTCCTTCCATCTAATTAACTGCCTCTGAAAACCCTCTGGAGGGTCAGCTGTGGGTCAGTTCAAACTCAGCAACACACAACAACAACAACACTATGAACTAGAAATCCTCAAACACACAGATAAACCTTGAAAGGGAAATGTAGACGTTCTCCTTGCAAATGGAAGGAAAGGGGGTCACTGCAGGTAGAAGAGCTCAGACTTGGCCGACATATCTTGGAGGGGAGGCCCAAGGCTCACTGAGTTACTGTAACATGCCCAGTGTCCCAGCTGGGGCCAGAGGACGGGCTCAGTGGAAAGGACCAGACTCTCTTGGGGAGACACAAATAGGAGAAACAGGAACAGGATGCCTTGAAGGTGCCCTTGTCCTCCTCTCACCTTGGTAAATATCCTGGAGAGAGCCAGCCCCACAGAATTCCATGCAGATCCAGAGCTTCTGCAGCCTACAATGAATAATAATAACATTAATGCTAGCAGCAGCAGCAACAATAATAGATTCTCATTCATAAGAAAGAGCACTTGGTTCACTGTATCTTATTCTAGGTCAACAAGTACTCGAATATAACAACTGTCATCTCCCCTGCTTGCCTATCCCGCTCGAGTGAGATCATTCCAAGTGTACAGATGGCAATTAGACACTCAGAGGAAATGTGCATTCAGGGCCAATTGAATTTGAACCCAGGTCTTTTGACTCCAAACCCAGTAGACCCTCTGCTATCCTAAAATAACCTAGGAGATTAGGTGGAGATCTCACAAGTTGGGGAGGTTGGGAAGGCACAGAGAAGCCCAGTATCCCAGTTCAGGAGCTAGTGGTCATCACTGAGGCATCTATAATAATCATTTGAGGATCAGGAAGTACAGGGATTGGTATAAAGAAGCAGAGAAATTGAGGAAGGAACTCAAAGGGCAGGATGATGAAGAGATTAATTTTAAGGGACTCGAGTTTTGGATTTAGATACTAAGAAGTGATCAATTTGGGGAGCTATGCCCCCAATATGGAAGTTCTAGATTGGGAATCAGATTAAAGGGTGCTCCAGTCAGATATGAGGGTTTAAGTTTAGAAGTCAGGTTAAGGTCCTGGTCAGAAATGGGAGTTCAGAATGTGGGGCCAAGTTAGGAGTCATCTGTGTCAGAAACGGGCACAGATTTGGGGATCCAGTTAGGGATACACTGTTCAGAACTGAGACCACAGAGTTAGAGGTCAAGTTGGAGGCCCACCCAGTTCCGAGGTAGGGTCAGACTGGATCTCGGCAGATCTGAGACTCCTTACCAGAGGTAGGTCCCATGATAGGCCACGATGTTAGCATGCTGGCAAGTTTTCAAGATGAGGATTTCCTTCTGCAGAGTGGAGACATCGTCATCTGCAAGAAGGGGTGGAGGAGAGTAAAAGGTGCTGCTCAGAGGAGGCTGGTGGCTCCAGCGTTCCAGGAGGTAGGAATGAGGGTGTGGGGAGGGAGCGCCTGGGTCCTCCTCGCCTTACCAGGCTCCATCTTCACCATCTTCAATGCCATCAGGTCCCCAGTCACCTTGTCTCGAGCCTTTGCAAGGGGAAGTTGGCAATCAGATAGATCCCAGATCCCAGAGTCCCTCGTCAGCATCCCAGAGCTAAGGCCAAACCCTTTTGCATTCTCTTCCCTTCCCAGGACTCATCCCAAAAGCCTTGAGGGTTATGGAGACAGACAAAGGTGGGGGGAAGAGGGGCCCCTCACCTTGAAAACTTCCCCATAAGTGCCGCCGCCTAGTCGCTGCAGCAGGTAGTAGTGGTCCCTGGGGTCCCTATTAAAGATGTCAGGGTCCAAGAGGTCCATCTCTGGGAGCTGGAACTAGGCCAGCGCCCAGTGGGCCAGCAGGGCCACAGGGCTCAAATGCTGGCACCTCTTTCCCTCCCTACTCGCCCTGCACCCTTCTTGCTTCCACCGGCTGTGGCCTCCTCCCCTCCCCACTCTCGCTTCCTGCCCCAGCACAGGGCTGTGCAGCCAGCTCCACCCCCTGTCCCCTGGGCCCTGACAGCCTGTGACGGGCAGCTTGTGTCAGGACCCAGGGGACCCCCTCCACCCTTAGGGTGTAGATTTGGATGTAAATGAGATGTAAACTGTCTTGATCTTAATTATGGTTTGAGAGGCTGGGTATCCTGGCAAGCTGATTTTCAGTTCTGAGGAAGGAAAAAACCCCACAAAACATACATAGTTGAACTTTGCTGTGTGCAAGGGCGGTTGGCCACAAGCAGAGGTGGCAAGTATGTTTAGGAGATGGCTATGCAGTATGCATGCCTGTTACCCCAAGGTAACATGCATGCCACCTGCTGTGGGGTGTGCAGATCTGTAGATATGGCTTCTCATGCACTCACAGTATATGCTTCCACATACCGCGCACACTCTTGGGTGCTGCATTCTCAACATGGAGTCTATATCCACATTGCTGGACAAGTGGATTTGCTTGCCTTTGCCCTGAAGCTTGGCACGTTTCTGTTGGGCCCTAACCCAGGGAGCCGTGATGGAGCGTGACACTGGAGCAATGATCTGGCCTCAGAAGCACAAGATTGGTATGTGGTTAGGAGGCACAACCTCGCAGAATACATCCCTTGAGATACGGTCATGACTGCTGGAGTGTGGGATGTGTGTGACTGATATGTTTTCTTGCACCAGTATGTAAATTCACACACAACTGCTTGATAATGCTCACAACTCTTGTATATCACGAGTGCTCGATCTCTGACCCAGAGGCTTCTCAAATACGTAAACTCACGTCTGAGCCCCAGAACGAACCACACGAGGTTCGGGAAACACTCAGCCCCACCTTCTCGCCCGAGAAAGCGCCCGCGCGCTACATTAGGGTCAACTTTTTCTCAGTACAGCGCAGTTAGAGAAGATGCGCACGCGCCAATTGCGCCGGCTGGGAAGAAATCACGTGGCAGCCGGAAAGCGTGGCGGCGGCTGGAAGGCCCGCCCCTTCCACGGCCTCCTGGGCCCGGCAGGAACAGTGACGTATTTCCTCTTCCGTCATCTCCCTTTTCCGCTTCCTATCTGGGAGATCCTTGTGCTCTCTCTTGTTTTCGTGGTTTGCCGGTGTTTGGAAGGCGGCGGGATCCATGGCTGTGTTTGAGCAGATGAGAGCCAACGTGGGCAAGTTGCTCAAGGGCATCGACAGGTCTGAGTCTCGTCTAAGGGAGTGATTCTGGCCAAGCTGGGTGGAAGAGAGGATTTTCAGGAGTCAGAACCCCGGATGTGTCCTGAGATGGGGGATCTCCCTGTCATTCTGGAAGTAGGCGGTTCATTTTGGAGCCGTAGGAAACAGCACTGCACAGGCCTGGAGGAAAGAGAGAACCTCACCTATTATTCGCTTCCGTTCTCTCTGCGTCCTCTGCTTTTCACTGTCTTACTCTCGCCCTTCTCGATCCTGCATGTCATAACACCCAACTCTTTGTAGTTGTTTGGCGATGCTTACGTCCAGAGGTGGCCAAGTTACTACGCATAAGCGTTACAGTGGCAGCCAGGAGTGGTCAGACAAAATGGTGCGACGTGTGGTCTTTGATAGGGAAAGTATATAGAGACTTTGAAAGTCTGAGGTGGAGGAGATGCCTGATTGACTTGGTATAAACGAGGGTTTTGAAATCTAGCGGAAGACCTTAAAGACAATCCAAAATAAGACAAAAGAAGGGAGTTCCAGGCAGAAAAAAAAAATCACATGTTCTAAAAGATTATCTCAGTACTTCTTATGAATTGGAAACCATTTGTAATAGTTGAGCTGGAATGTACAGTTATTCATGGGAGGAGGACATTGGGGATCCATAGAATGATGATTGTAAAAAGAAGAAAGATATATTTGTGCTTTAGAATGACACTTCTGACTATTGTGTGGAGGGTGGAGTAGCCTGTTGGGAGTCTGGAGGAAGCTGGAAGACCAGAGTGGGAGTCTAGGAAGAAGAGAAGGAGTTGGATGGTAGAAATGTTTGTGTCCAGGTATGAGATACAAGGTCTGATTGACTGAGGGATGGAGAAGGGATCTAGAAGAAGACCCAGGGCGCCAGTAGAACTTCAGTGTATGCAAGAGAGAGGCTTGGTATGTGGAGAGATTTTATTAGAGATTATGGAGTGGATTAAGATTAGGTGAGGGCAGTACCAGATGTAGGGGAAAGGAGGGAGGAACAGGTTACAGTGTCTCCCTGGCCTCAAATAGACTCCCCTCCCGTCTCTTCTTTGTTCACCTGTTCTGTACTGCCACTAGGTACAATCCTGAGAACCTGGCCACCCTGGAGCGCTATGTGGAGACACAGGCTAAGGAGAATGCTTATGACTTGGAAGCCAACCTCGCTGTCCTGAAGCTGTGAGTATCTGCCTCTACCCCTGGCCAGCAGAGTGGCACTCTCAATGTGGGGTGGAACTTGGGGCAAGGTTAGCCTGCAGGATGTGCCTTCTCTCGATATGCAAGACCAGGAAACCCGGGAAGTTCTGTTAAAAAAGTTGAAAATATGTGTTGGAGAATATTTAAGATGAATATGGAGTTTAACAAGTAGTTGAAAATAAACATCCCTGTAATCACCATGGATTGATCAAACTTGAGTGTTACTAGTGATCCCAGAGCATTTGCCCCCATGCTTTTACAGGCTTATCCCCTGTTCCCCTTTTAAGCACTCTCTCATGCTCTTAGGACTAGGCATTCCACGCTAGTTTACCACAGCTGCATCCTTCTTGATAGACTTTGCTCATGTTTGCCTGCTCTAGCTTTGCTCAGATGTCACCATGTAGTGTGAGTCCCTCTCATTCCCGCTGCTCCGGCATAGCACTGAGTCTGTAAACACCATCAGTTTTGATGTCACTATTTTTGCTCTATGGTGCATGACTCTGTTGTAATTTTTCTTTCTCCTGTTGATAGATATTTGAGTTCTCCCTTCCTCAGGTACTTTACTTGTCATGTGACCTACTGGGTAATTAATCTGTGCAGATTACACAGCCTCGGCCTTTCAGCTGTAAAACTGGGATGGTAATGTTTAAATTGTGAGATTGTTCAGGGTGTTGGTACTGACCACTACTCAGTGAGTGTTTGCCTTTTGTTAATTGTGGATTTAACTGCTCTATTGTTCCAGTGGAGTAGATAGAGTTGTTCTTACTCTCATTTGCAAGAGAGTAAGAAACTAGGACACAGAGGATTTAAAACACATAGCTCCAAATTTTGGCCGAAAGCAGAGTATTCCAGAAAGTTGTATACCTATAGTTTTATGCAAAGCCATTTGATTATTTGGATCTTGATGCATTATTAATAGGTAATATTGTAAAGAATGGGAATTCCATGGTTATGCTCTGTGGAACCTATATCTAGACCAAGAATCAGTCATTACCAAACTAACCACTGGCAGCGTAGTGTTAGATGGAAAAAAGATTGACATTATCAAGAATTTTGTTTACTTGGATTCACTATCAACACCCATGGTAATAACAGTCAAATAGAATGATGGAAAGATCTGCTGTCAGGGATCCCTCAAGAGTACTGACAAACAATCATGTCAGCCTAAAGACTAAGATGTTTCTTGATTCAAGCCATTTTCAGTTGCTTCTTACACATCAGAAAGTTGAACAATGAAAGAACTATTAAAAAGGAATATATGATTAGGTATCATACATACGGCAGCAGCCCAGAATAAGGTACATCATTGCAAAGAGGACTGGGGACGGGGTGGAGATAGTTAATTGTGCAAAAATGAATTAAATTTTTTTATTATTATTTTCTGTGTGTGTATACTATCAAATTGGATCTGACTGGTGCAGGAAGAGATGGCCCCTCCTTCTCCAGCAGAGCATCTGGTGGATTTGAACCACATATCTCTGGGATTGCAGTGAATTTTTTTTTAAATAGTGAACTCATTGCACACTTTTGTTTATTGCTGCTTTGTTCACAATAGCAAAGAATTGGAAACAACCCACGTGCCTATCAGCAAACGAATGGATAGAGAAGCCGTGGTATATTCACACAATGGAATATTATGCTGTATTGAAAAACAAGGAATTCATGAAATACTATACAAAATGGGTGACCCTGGTCTCCTCTTTCTGCCCCACCTACTCGGCAGCGGCGGTGGCAGCAGCTGTGGCTGTTCCTGCCTCTCTGCCACCTCCTCCCTGCCTAGCTCATGGCTGGCAGGGTGGGGGTTAGGGGGGAACGGTAGATATAGACACTTCCCTTAGACAAGTTATTCCACAGTGGCACTGTGGGAAATTCATAGTGAGATACTGATGTCATCAATAAACAAATAGGATCACATTTTGTGTTTTGACTCTGGGAAGGATAATCTCCTGTTGTCAGCCTAATGCAGCGTTCAAAGACCTATGATTCTTTCCAAGATGAACTTGAAGATTATATAAAAGTACAGAAGGCCAGAGGTTTAGAGCCAAAGACTTGTCTCAGAAAAATGAAAGAAGTCTATTTGGGAACCTTTGGGTACAAAGAAGTTGATTCCAGACCCAGATAAAGAATGTCTGATCAGAGACTCCCGTATGAAACTGTCTAGGCTTAATTCCCAAGACCATACAATATTCCACAAATGCTGGAGAACCAGTTACCTCACTGCCTTCCAGCTTTTGGCAGTCGAATGAAGCTAGACCCTCCAAGCTGCCATAAACTCTCCAGGGACTGTTCCTCAGGAAAGCCATTGCCCCTGAACCTTAGCAAGACTGTCATTGTGGCTCATACACTGGAGAATCTGACATTTACAAGCATCTCTCAGAAAACAGTACCACTGCCCACCAAGCCAGTCGTAGAGAAATGCACCGGAAAACAGAGGTACCATGTGAAGGACAGAGAAAAGTAAGAGAAGGAGCAGCCCAAGTATAAGAAGAGTTGTGAGGAAACAGACTCAGTAAACAAAGAGCATCCAAGAAAAGCAAACAGATCTGGAAATAGTGTCAGTGCCGAAAACCTGAAGACTCAAAAGGAGAAAAACCACTGAGAAGTCTGCTCTCTAAGAAGGAGGAACGGAAGTGTAAGACAAGAAAACTCAAGGCCAAGAAAAGACAGATGAAGAGATGCTATGGGACCTGTCTGTCCTTGGATTTTGAAGCCATTGACTTGTTTCTTCTGAGATTGAATTTGGGGGGAAATAGTTGAATGAGGTTTTTGTTTGTTTGTTTCATGAGGTGATTGTTCTATACATTTTTTTCCCTTACATGAGCCAGTACTTTAACATCTAATGAAGACCAGGTGAATAGAAAGTATTTTCATGTGTTTCTTCTCCAGTTGAGAAGAAAAGCGATTACTCTTTCTAAAAACATCATTACATTTTTCTTCTATGTCATTTTCCTAATCAGAATGACTCTGGACTTTATTAATTTAATTGCTGTGATAGAAGAGTCATTCTGGAGGGTTAATAGACTTGCAGACTCTTTCTTGGCTGGATATACTTTAGTTTTAATGGGATAGTTTTGGGTATATTAGTTTTCTATATGAAGCAATTTAGATTCTTTGTTAGCTTTAACTTGCAGTGGAAAATGAAATGCTTTATAATAATAAACTTAGATTAAATATGGTTTTAAAATGTTCAGAGTCCTGATAAAAATCAGTTTATATTCTCAAAATGTTCAGCAGCTAATTAAGCCGACCGTCCTTCTTTTCTGTGGGGGCCGGTGTGCAATGGCTGCAAACAGCAACTCTTTGGTAGTGTATGCAGCCTGTTGCATGTACAGGTTGCCCTAAGGGACCTTGGAGACAACTCTTGGAAAAAGAAAACAAAGAAAAAAAATGTAAATATATTCTCAAAATGTTTATAATAAAATGGTCTAACTTAAAAAAAAAGTGTGACCCTGGAGGACATTATACTGAGTGAAATATCTCAGTCAGTCTTAAAACGACAGATGTTGCATAGTTGTAAAAATATTGCAATGGGCCTGACATTGGGGTTGAGGGAAGGCAGAGAAAGAGGAGGGGATAAATAATGTATAATCCTTATATAATATATAATGCATTGAAACAGATGAGAGAGAGAACTGTTTAAAAGAGATATATGATTAGGTATTACTGTCATGACGAGTCCAGAATGAAGGCGCTTGGAGTGGACTTGGGGAGGGATTGTATAACAGTGAAAGAATTTTTCTTTTACATTTCAAAGAGAAGAGCGAAATTGGGGGGAGGGGGTGGGCAGGGAGAAAAGTGCAACAATAAATGAATGGAAATCCTAAGTCTCTGTAAATTTTCATTAAAATTAATTTTTAAAAAAATGAACTCAAAACAACTATATCATCTCTCCCCAGTGAGAATAGCAAAATTCAACAGAGCAGCAAACAACAAATTCTGGCCAGGTTGTGGAGAAACTGGAACTCTTTTCCACCATTGGTTGGAATGTAAAATGGTACAACCACTATGGAAAGCAGTATGGCACTTTCTCAGAAAGTTGGAAATAGAAATTCCATTTAAGCCAGCAGTTTCACTACTTGGAGTATACCCTAAAGAAACCAGAACTGCCACCCAAGCAGATATATGCTCACCCATGTTTATTGCAGCTTTGTTCAGAATAGCAAAGAGAAAGGAAAAAAGCCAAGTGCCCATCAACAAACGAATGGCTAGAAAAGCTGTGGTAAATTCACACAATGAAATATTATGCAGCACTGAAAAACAGCTCATGAACTATTATACAACATGGGGGACCCTGGAGGACATTATGCTTAGTGAAATACCTCAGTCACAAAAAAACCCCAAAAATACTGCATAGAGCCACTGTTATAAAGCAGGACTCACATGGGAGTTGGGAAACTAAGCAAACAGGGAGAGAACTGTATAAAAGGAATATATGATTAGGGATTATTGGTATGATAAGAGTCCAGAATAAGAGCTACATAGTAAAGTGGTCGGACAGGGGATGCTGTATGACAATGAAAGAACTTTTTTTCCCCAAAGGACAAAACTAACTGGGGAGGAAAATGTGTAACAGTGAATGAATGGAAATCCAAGTTCTTTATAAATTTTCATTAAAATCTCAATTTTTAAAAAAGTGAACTGGGGGAGGGAGGGAGAGGGGGGTAAAATGTACAACAATTAATGAATGAAAATCTAACTTCTCGTAAACTTTCGTTAAAGGCAAAATTAAAATTTTTTTAATTATCCATTTTTAAAAAATGAACTGGGGGAAGGGAGGAGGGTAAAATGTGCGACAATTCAAAAAAATTGGACTTTGAATGACAGAAGAGTTGTTGCTTTTGAATTGTACTTTGGAGAAGATGACTAAATATTTCATGTACTGACAAAAGAAGAAACTTATGTTTTGGAGAAAGTTTGACCAGGTGCTCCTTAGAGACAAGGATGGTGAAACATCATCTCATGTGTACTTTGGACAGGTTGTCAGAAGAGATCAGTCCTTGGGAAAAGATACCATCCTGGGAAAGGTGGAGGACCGGAGAAAGGGAGGAGGTCCCTCAGCGATATGGATTGGCGCATTGGAAAATGGGCTCAAGCGTGTCAGCGATGGTGAGAACGGCACTGGAAGTTTAGGTCTGTGAGTTATAAGTTACAGTGAGCACCTAGTAACGACAGTGTACAGTCCATGCTTAGCCGTTAACCCAAGAAGCTGGACTGCAGGAAGAAGAATGTGTCATTAAGATGAGAGGCAGAATCATTAACCTGCAGTATACAGATCACACTGCCTTGCTTGCTGAAAGCTGTATGCATTTGAAAGACTTGCTAATGAATATCAGCATTCAATATGGACCAGACGTCAACATAAAAATCACAATTGGACAATAATAAAAGGATAAATAGAAAAAGTTAAAGCTGTCGAAGATTTAGTCAAAGTTGGATTCACAGTGAATCCAATGGCCTGAAAATTAAATGATGCTTTGGGTAAATATGCTGTCAAAAAAATCTCTTCAAAATGTTAAAAAGCAAAGATGTCACTTTGAGGACTAAGATGCATTTCCCCCAAATCATCATGTTTTCCGTTGCCTCAAGCATGTAAATGCTGGATGATAATAAGACTGAAAAAGGAATTGATGTCTTTGAGATATGGTACTGGGGAAGGATGTAGACTGTCCCATGAAAGAACAAACATATTTTTGAAGAATTGGAGCCAGAATGCTCCTTAAAAACAAGAATAGTGAGATGATATCTCACATGCTCTCAGCATGTTACCAGGAGGCCCTAGTCCCTGGGGAAGGATACCAGGTGGGTAAAATAGAGGGTCTGTGAGAAAGAGAAAAACCTTCAGTAGAATGGATTTGCACAGTGGCTACAACAGTGGATGGACATAGCAATGATTGAGAGGATGGCATAGCACCAAATAGTGTTTTATTCTGTGTTTAGGGTTGCTGTGAGGCAGAATGAACTCAACAGCACCTAACATAAATTCTAATGTATGAATCTCTTCTAACAATAAGTGCCTCATTGAATGACTGTGAGAATTAAATGTTCCTATTTACAGCCAGAAAGTAGTGGAGCTGAGATTAGAGCCTCAACATGGCCACCTCCCAAACTCCAGAGCTTGATGTGACCGAAGAAGAAGACAGCCTGCCTGCTGCCTGCTCAGAGACCTGGAGGTGCCACTGACACTGTGTCTCTTGTTCTCCTTAGGTACCAGTTCAACCCAGCCTTCTTTCAGACCACAGTCACTGCTCAGATCCTGCTGAAAGCCCTCACCAACCTGCCTCACACTGACTTCACTTTGTGCAAGTGTATGATTGACCAAGCACATGTATCCTTCCAGCTCTGGGGACCAGGGCTTGTAGGGAGGGGAAGTAGATGAATCTCAGGGAACTGGACATCAATTCATCCAGGAACAGTAACTGCCTACCCCAGGCCAGAACCCTGTCCTTATGCAGTTCGTGGTTCAAATGGAGGAAACAGGTCTCTGTCGGCTATAGCCCAGAATATTGGGCCTGGGGAGTCCAACACCTGATCCTGATTGGAGGTTTGGGAAAGCTGCCTGGAGGAGGGAACATCTAGTGGATGAAAAGCTAGGAAAGGGTGGTCCAGGCACATGGAACGATATGTAGAGTATCCTGGAAAGAAAGAACAGGTTAGCTTCTAGAGACATTAGAGGAAGTTGAGCATAGCCTTGCATAGATTGTAAACTACAGTGCAGTCAGACTCTGAAAGGGCCCTGGGAAACCATGCCCAGAGTGATAGAGGTAGATATATCCTCTAGACAGATTCCCCTAACAGCTCTCAACCAAGAAAGGAGCCACTGGTTTAAGAGACAGGAGAGGATGGAGGCTGGGACCTGGGAGGCCCCACAGGACAGCAGTTTTGTTTTAATGGCATTTGAAAAAACAAAACACAAAACCACCAAACCATACACAATTTAAAAAGTATGGAAGGGCATCAAAGAAGTACACCCCAAGAAGCAAGTGTTCCTCTGCCACTTGTCCCAGGGCTACCCTTCCATTCTCTGGAGGTAAGAGTTGCTTGCAGTTCTTGGGTACTGTTCCCAGGTAATTCTTGTAATGAAAACATGGGTGAGTGTTTATATACATGCATCTTTCCCCATACCCAAACAGCGAGAATTTAGGCACATTGTCTGCAGTTTGATTTATTCATATTGTTGGGTTTCCCTATCAATGCCAGCAGTTGACAATCCCAGTTCATGGATGCCCCAGAGTTCATTCCAGCATCTCCCTTGCTGGCCCTTAGGTGATTTCTCATCTTTGACCAGTACACTGCTTGTGGCAGACCCCCGTCCTCTTCCTTACTTACATGAAAGAAAAAAGATGGCTTCATTTTCCAGTTGGTTTTCTGAGCTGGACCTTTAGAAGAAAGGAGTGAGAATGACTGATCTAGGACCCAGCACCACCCTTCTCAGATTCCAGGCCATTTCCCCTTAACACTTCCTCCCAGCAAGAAGAACGGCCGATCCGACAGATACTCTACCTCGGAGACCTGCTGGAGACCTGCCACTTCCAGGCCTTTTGGGTAATTTTTCTTGGGTTGAGGGATAGGTTGGGTGGGCCCAGAGTCAGCAGGGTTGAGCTGTGCCAAGTAGACGGTTAGGTACCTCTGATTTTTGGGGGGGTTGTGCTTAGTGTGTTGCACATGTGATGTGGAGCTGTCATCCTGCAGAGCCAGGCTCCCAGATCCTCCCTAGGCCCCAAGGGTCGAGCTGATTTCTCTCGCATCCCTCCCTCCTTTGCATCCTTCCTTCTTGTCCCCTGGTATTTGCCATCTGTCATAAGCAAAAGCTGTGCTCGCTTCAGCAGCACATATACTAAAATTGGAAAGTGGAACGATACAGAGAAGATCAGCAAGAAGTGTTCCATAAGAAAAAAAAAATTTAAAAAAAAGCAAAAGCTTCCCATTCTATTCCCATTCTCTGAACAATCTCCTTTTCTTGCTCTGCCCAGAGTTTTGTACCCTCACTGAGGATGTCCCTTGTCCTGCAGCTCCCTCCCCTTCCTGAAGCCCCTGGACAGGCATTCACCCCAGCACTGCCGATCGTGACCATGCACATGCTCACTTTGTGGGTGTCAGCAGCAGCCCCCACGATCAAAGCTCAACGCATGAAACTTTTTTTCTCCATGTACATGCTCACTTTTTGGGTGTCAGCAGCAGCCCCCACGATCAAAGCTCATTGCATGAAACTCTTTTTTTCCCCCCTCCTTCCCCACACCTTTTTCTTGTTGTATACCATCAAATTGGATCTGACTGGCACAGGAGAAGATTGTCCCTCCTTCTCCAGCAGAGCATCCGGTGGATTTGAACCGTGTGCCTTTCAGATTGCAGGGCAGCTTCTTGCCTGACTGTGAAACTCTTGAGGAACTTTCAGAGCTGCTGATCTCTGTGTACTCCCTCACTGAATCTGGATGTCATGTGGGCTGTGGGATTTTTAACATGATCTCAGATCATTCTGAGCACTGGCTGGTGTTTGGGATCACTGGTGTTCTTGGATTTATTCTCACTGATAAGATGATGATTCTCTCCCTGCCGCCCACACGCTACCATGAATTTTAAATAAGACTACATGCATTCACGCTGGTAGGGTAGTAGACACCCATTGTGAATTATGCACATTTCTTTTTTTTTATTATTATTAAATTTTATTAGTTTCAATGAACATTCACAGGGATTCTGGGCTTTCACTCCTTCATTGCTGCACCATTCTCTCCACCCTCCTCCCCAGTTTGTTCTTCTTCCCCGCCATCCGAATGTCTGTTTTAATTGTCCAATTGCCTCAGTGCTTGTCAAAGTCAGTTCTGATTAATCTCCTTTGTTGGTGTGTCCTTTGCCATTCTCTATCCCTCCTCCCTGAGAGAGACTTTACCCTGATTCATAAGGAAAAGGGGATGGCGTATTCTCTTAGCTACTTCCTGCTGAAAAGGGACGCTGTGGGTTTCAGGGTGAAGATCTTCTCTCACTACTCTAAAGGGCCCCTTTGGCAGTAGGAAACACATAGACTATTATGGAAATTGATTTTGGAATTTAGATGCACTCTTATTGATTGTGCTTGGCTGTACATGTTCATATCCTTGAAGATGTATCATGGGGGTGTTGCAACCTAGAAGACACAAATTTGACTAACAAGTTATAAGTACATGAGTCAAAAATTATGGAAAAGTAAAAGAAAGGATTCTTTCATTGTTTTACAAACCCGCCCCCAGGTCCCCTCCACCATGTAGCCCTCGCTCTAGACTCCTGTGATGACAGAAGTACCTAGTCATAGATCTCTTTTAAACAGTTTTCTCCCTCCTCTGTTTCAGTGCAGTATACATTATTGAACCCATCTTACTCAGTCTCTCCCCAACCCCAAGGACAGTCCCATTCTACAACAGTGGCATCATGTAATATTTATCCTTTTGTGACTGGGATATTTCACTCAGCATAATGTTCTCCAGAGTCAACCATTTTGAATAATATTGCATGAGTTCCTTGTTTTTTAATGCAGCATAGTATTCCATTGTGCGAATATACCACAGCTTCTCTAGCCATTCGTTTGTTTTTGGGCACTTAGGTTGTTTCCAACTCCTTGCTATTGTGAACAAAGCTGCAATAAACATGGGTGTGCATATATCTGCTTGGATGTCAGCTATGGTCTCTTCAGGGTATATTCCCAGTAGTGGAATTGCTGGGTCAAATGGTATCTCTATTTGCAACTTTTTGAGAAAGCGCCACACTGCTTTCCACAGGGGTTGCACCATTTTACACTCCCACCAACAGTGAATCAGGGTTCCAGTTTCTCCACAACCTCGCCAGCATTTGTTGCTTGATGTTCTGTTAAATTTTGCTATTTTGACTGGGGTGAGATGATATCTCATAGTTGTTTTAAATTATGCACATTTCTACCCCTTGACAGCTCTTCCTGGCTTCCCAGCCCACGTGTGGGACTTTTGAACAAGAATATCTTTACTCGATATTCTCGCGTGTGATCTGTTCCTGTCCTCACATCCCTTCTCCTTATGAGAATAAATCTTCCAGTTCTTCTCTCCCTCCCCTCCAGTCACACTTGCCCAGCAGAGCAGCCCTGTGGGGCCCAACTCCCTGTCCCTTCCACACCTGCCTGCATTGTGATTGCAGCTAGAGAAACACCCACCTTGAGTGTATCACTCCCTTAGGGTCCACCTGGCCTTCCGCCCTCCTAGCAGTCTGGCTTCCTCGCCCACTTTGTCTGTTCAGCTTAACTGACTGGTCTTTTCACATCTTCTTGTCTCTTGCCCGTCTCACCTTGATTTACTTCGTGGGAACATAGACGCAATCAAAGCACAGCTTGCACTTTCTCTTGTCTCTGGTCTTCACATGCTGCTTGCAGCTTTAGTCCTGGGAGAGGGGATTGTGTAAAGCCACCCTTCCAAGGTTTGCTGGGTCCCCTTCCTTCACCCATTTAAGCTCTCCTTGCTTCCCTTAACATTCTGAGCTATTCCTGTCATGCCAGTGGCACATTTAATATGCAGTTCTCTTAAGGTAACAGGGAAATTGACCCTTGTCCTCCACCTTCAGCTGCCACCCCCTCTGCACTTCGTAAAATCGCTCTCCTGAGTATGGGGACCACCTGTCCTAATCTGCCTAGGACTCTTCTTGTTTTTAAACCTACATTCTCACATCCTGATAATCCCTCAGTGGTGGAGTAATCAAGAGCATTTGTTCGCCCTCTTCCTGGGACATGTTGGCTCTTACTCTCTCTTCCCTCCCTGCTTAGTTGAACTCATTCCCTGCAGACTGATGGCTGCCCACCTCCTACCTCCCATACACGCCCCTGAAACTGCCCTTGGCGAGATCCTCAGTCACTTCCACATGCTATATCAGACGTCTGGGCTGCTCTGTTAGCTGCCTCGGAGACAAGTGAGCATGCTCTGCTCCAGACAGCGTTCTTCATCCAAGGCGACTGCTCTCCTGGCTATCTCCTCCCCTTCCACTATATACTCTTTCAGTATCCTGGGGGGCTGTTCATCCTCCCTCTAATGCCGGAGGGACCTCTTTTGGTTGGTGATGAAGATGGTATTGTGGCAGGATTGTCCCTGTCTTGTTTGAGGAGCACTGAGGAAGCCCAAGTAGCTGGAACACGATGAGCAAGGGGACAAGGAGGAGGCAGTGAGCTCACAGAGGTGACGGGCAGATGAGATCAGGGAGGTCTCAGGGCCACGGTGGGGGCTTTGACTGACACGTTGAGTAAGACAGGTTGAAGGAGAGGTGCAGGTGACTCACCTCTACCCAGCTCTGTGAGCTTGGACAAATCACTCCGCCGCTCTAAGCCTTAGTGTCCTCTCTAACCACAGTTAAAGGGTTATAACAGAAAAAGGCCTGGCCTGTGAGGTAAATGTTGAAATGTTAGCTGCTATTATTAATGCTGACATCTTTATGAATATTTTCATTCCCTCACAGCAAGCCTTGGATGAGAACATGGACCTCTTGGAGGGCATTACAGGCTTTGAAGACTCTGTCCGGAAATGTAAGCCGCTCTCTGCTCCCTGGGAGAAGGAGTGAGGGGTGGGAGGAGTAGGGTTGTAGGAGAAGCCTTCTCACTGGCTTTTGTCTGATCCACACAGTTATTTGCCACGTCGTCGGCATTACTTACCAACATATTGACCGCTGGCTGCTGGCTGAGATGCTCGGGGATCTGACAGGTAAAGTCTTCTCTAGGTCCCCTGTGCAAGTCACCAGAGCTTAGGGATGGTGATGGGCAGTGGATTGGCCCACTGGACTCATCCATGCTTTACCATTAGTGAAGCTCCTGTCCTAGGGAGATCCCGGTTGGTGTAACACATCGTTCTGCCTTGGGCTGGGTTCTCCAGAGAAGCAAAACCTGTGAAGAATGTATGTACATGTATGTGTCTAGAAAGATTTCAAAGGAATGGCCCATGTGCTTGTAGAAGCTAGCAAGTCCCAGGTCTGTAGATCAGAACTCAGGAGAGAGACATCTGGCAGGCAGGTGGACTGCTGGCTTTGGAGATTGTCACCTTCAGAGGCTGAGGAGTCCATGGGTTGCCAGGGAGCAGGCTCGCAGTCTACAGCCTTCAGACGCTCGCAAATCCAAAGTCTGCAAGGATGGCAGGCTGCTGGTTCACGTCTTGAGATCACGAACCAGATAGCTAGAAGCAGGATTGATTGGACCAGAAGCTCTCCAGCTAGGCCAGAGAGTCCATACACCTCGTGAGGAGGCATCCCTTCATTAGATTGTGCTGATCCTGTAATTACACAATCCGACTTCATTAGCTTCTTTGTTGTTTTGTACCCTTGAGAGGCAGTCAACTCATAGCATCCCTACAGCAAGTCAGCAGGGTTTCGGGGGCAATAAATTGCACAGGAAGAGATTGTCCGTCTCTCTCCTGCAGAGCAGCTGGTGGATTCAGAACACGTGCCTTTGGGTTGGCAGTACAATTTCTTACCACTGAGTTACCAGAGTATCATGTTGTGTGCAGAAACAACTCATAGCTGATCCTCCAGCAGGTTTTCAGAGGTAGTAAATTTCACAGAAGTTTATGCATCCTTCTCCTGTGGAGCGGCAGGTGGATTTGAACCATGTGCCTTTGGGATTGCAGTGTGACTTCTTAACATTAGGCCACAAGAGCTCCCCTAGGGAATCATAGAGCATCAAAGAGGTTGGAATTTATAACACCTATTGTTATGTGCCATCAAGTTGCTTGTGACTCATAGCGATGCTATGAACCCTGCTCTATCTACCCCCATTACCATAGTCAGTCCATCTCATCCGGGGTCTTCATTTCTTGAGCTGTCCTTCCATCCTCCCACATATGATGTCCCTCTCTAAGGACTGATCTCACCTTGTAGCAAGCCTAAAGTACATCAGACGAAGCTTCAGAATCCCTGCCTCCAAGGAGCAGCCTGGTTTCACCCTCTCTAGGTCGAACCTATTTGTTCTCCAGCATCACAGCTCAAAGGCCTTAATTCTTGTATCATCCCTAGTCGTCCAGCTTTCAGATGCATAGCAAGTAATTGTGAAGACCATGGCCTTGATTGGGTGCACTTTAGTCTCCAGACTGACATTGTTGCTCTTCAGAACTCTGGAGAGGTCACTGACAACAGACTTTGCCAATACAATTTGTCTTTTGATTTCCTGGCTGCTGGTACCAAGAGTGTTGATTGACCAAGCAAACTGAAGCTGTTAACAATCTCAGTCTCTTCACTGTCTGTCATGATGCTGCCAATTCCTGGCCCAGTAGTAAGAATCTTTGTTTTCTTGATGTTGCACTTTAATCCATATTTAAGGCTGCAGTCCTTGACTTCTGCAGCAAGTGCCTCAGGTCCTACTCAGTGTCGTAATTGGTAAAAAACAAGTCCCCAGGAATTGACGGCATACCAATTGACCTATTTATAACACCTAGGATTATTTTATTATACTTAGAGAGAATCATGGCTATGTTGACATATAGTCTTAACCATCATATATTTCTTAGGAGAGATCTTGGGTCATTTGTTGCCTAATTCTGAGTGCCAGATCTTATTCCAGGTCCTGGCACACACTAATGAGCAAAACAGAGATTCCTAAAGTTGAAATAAGACCATTTTATCGACTTTAAGGGTTAGATTAATAGTGAAATGAAATATTAAGAAAAATTACATTTGCAAAATTTAGTACAATTTTAAATATTCATTTGAAAACTGATGTTGAATGATGATTTTTAAAAATTTTTGTCCTGTACCAGTCAAATCTGATTTGACAGTACACACACACACAAATAATTTAAAAAAAAAATTGTCAATACCTAAGTGTATTAAAATTTTAACTACTTGTTAAAAAAAACCCATCACCAGAGACAACTCAGCTTTGTTCTCATGAAGGTAGTAGAGCAAATAGATTAATATGTTCATCTATGAGGCAGCTTACAGAGGGGGCAGAGGTGGGGAGGAGTGCACTGAGGATCACGCTCAGTGAGACAGACATCCTGGGACAGCAGAGATAATGGAATTGAGAGAGTCATTGGAGGGTTCACATTTGTGTTTTTAAAATCTTTCTAAAAAGGAAAAAAAATTTGCTTGTTTGGAGGTAGGGAGAATGGGATGCAAGAAGGGAAATTACTGTTTTGGGGAAGAGTGGTAACAAGGGGGAGCATCTGGTCTTGGGGGTAAAACTTCTCTGAGAACCTTCTCATACGTGTTTCCTCACTTGGTCCACATAGCTTTTAGCTTAGTTTCTTTTTTGTTTTAGATAACAACCAGACATATTTCCCCAACTTATAGCCGGTACTTTGGGTCAGGCATTATGCCTGTTGCTCTCTCTCCTCAGGTAGCTGGTACACATCTTCAAAATGTGCAATGCCATTAGAACAGGCTCCCACAGGCCTTGTTGGCAGCTGCCCTCCGTTTGACTCCAGCTCATGAAACCTTATGGACAGTAGAGTGAAACCCTGCCCAATCCTGCACATATCTTAAACTGAGTAAAGAAAAGCAACTGGGTGGAATTACGTTAAGTTGATAGCACTCAGACAGAAAAAAAGTTATTTCAGGTAACTGAGCATAATGCTCTAGCCATGTGTATTTTCTAAGGACAAAAAGGAACCACAAAGGAGTTCTCAAACTTGATGCAAGCGGCTAGAAATGATAGCGTGAGAGTTTGGAAACAATTTCATGTGGACTGTGTAGAAAAGCAGAAAAGTAAAAAATACTGCGCCTAAAAATAAGTGAAGGCAAAAGTGCTGCCATATTAAATAGGAGAAAATGATAAAAGCTCCCTTTGGCTGCCAGTCAGGACAACCCTAGCCGAGTAGAAGATGCTGGTGACTTCTGTTGGTCTGATCTGCAGCAGTGAGGCCCGAGGGTGCCGTAATCTCACAGGTCAGTTCTCTTGGCCCACAGCCTCCTGGGACAGTGGGTTAGGGTAAGCAAAGTCCCTGTGTTACCCTGTGTCCCTACAGACAGCCAGCTCAAGGTGTGGATGAGCAAGTATGGCTGGAGCGCCAATGAGTCGGGCCAGATCTTCATCTGTAGCCAAGAAGAGAGCATTAAGCCCAAGAACATTGTGGAGAAGATTGACTTTGACAGTGAGTGGGGGCCTGAAGTCTCAGGCTACAGGGCCTGTGCGGGGTTGAGGGAAGACACCCTGCAACTGAGACTTGAGCCAAAGCCCAAAGCACTTGGATAGAAATATACTTACGCAAGGCCAGGAAATTTGTAACTTCCAGATGTCACTGACCTCCCAGAGGCCTGTTTGCCAGGGTGGGAGAATATAGGGGTGCTACGTGTCCTTCCCTGGACTTTTGAGGCCTAGGTCCTGCCCTGCATGGTGTCCCCACTCCATTACTGGGTCTAATGTAGTGAAGGGATCTGTCTTTTATCCTCAGGATTTTTAGGTCCTCAGTGCTGGCATTCTCTGAGAAATGACAGAATGCTTAACTGTGCACGCTGAGGGAGCTGGGAACTCTTTCTTTCAGGACTTTGTAACAGTACTTCCCTGTGCCTCAGTTTCTTCATCTAAAAAAATGAGGATGACAACGATCATTATTACAACAAATATTGTAGAATTCCTTACTGATTGAGTGATTGGAACCTCACTCCATCCCTCTAAGGTTGGGGCCATTATTGTAAGTTAAGGTAAGATGATTAATGTGTAACAGTTTGCAAAGAGCCAATTACATAGTTCAACAATTGTTAGTCATTGTTACTTTCAGTCAGACCAGGGGACAGGGATCATTTCCCTGGGGCTTTGGTTCTTCTTTCTGCTCTCTTGGTGAGATGTTAATGTTTTAAAGGTGTGTATTGGACAGTGTGGCTTCTCAGTGCAAACCAGCTGAGGATGTACTTGGTTGAGGAACAGTGCTGAACTTGGAGACAGGGGAACCTCACTTGTGAGCTGGAGTTCCCTGTGAGGATTCACTTGAACTGGGTCTGTAGTGAAGAGGCCCACAGCCTGTGCTTGGAGGATCTTGCAAATAGCACATCACATTTAATATTTACTTAATCTTGACAACCATCCAATCATCTATCTAGATGTGATTCTCATCCCCGTTTGTCAGGTGGGGAAACTGATGCACAGAGATGTTAAGTAGTTTTAACTACTACCCAACTGCCTTTATGTTACACTTTGTAGTGTCAGCTTTGGAGAACCCCCGTTGTGCTCTGGAGTGTCAGTAGCTGGTGGTTTAGAACTTACGTACCAAGGAGTCAGAACCAACCTATAGCTGACCTTGCAACCGGTTTTCAGAGGCTGTCAATTGTATCTCTCCCTCAAAGCAGCTGGAGGATTTGAACTCCATGCCTTTGCTTGGCAGTGCAGTGCCGAAAAAGGACAAAGGTTTATGCTATACAGAAGTTTGAGACCTGTGGTTGGTGGCTAATGGCTGGAGGTGTCTCTCCCATTCTTTCCGCACTAACTTGATCTCCCCGTCTCTTCCTCACAGGTGTGTCCAGCATTATGGCCTCTTCCCAGTGACTTTGCAGCAGTATAATAAAGATTTGTTGACTTAGTCCTGCTGTGTCCTCAGTGACTTCCGGCCTCTGGCCTTCATCCACCAGAGGGAGCTCAGGAGCAAGCCTCTGCTCTCCCTGTGCTAGTCAACTCTTTCTGTCCTGGCCTAATAGAATCCCCTTTCTTCCTCTCCTGACCAGTGAGGTGGCCAGTGAGGGTACAGGGAAGAATTAGTGCACAGAAAGGGCAGCTAAGGTGCCAGCAGGGAGGTACATCACCCCGCAGCTCAGCCTGGCCTGCATTTTCTCCTCTCTTGAGCAGGCCACGTGATTTCCCAGGGAAGGAAACCTTGTGCTTGTACACTTAACTGTGCCTTCACAGTCAAGCCCCCTAAAACCATTCTTCACAGATGTGTGTGTGAGGGAGTAAGGGTCAATCGGCCTTGAATCCTGACTTTGTCACCAAACCCATTGTGTGTCCTTATCCATCACACCTTCCCCATCTCTGTAAGGTTAAGAATGATGGTGTCCATTTCATAGTTGTGAGCATTTGATGATCTATTACAGTGAAATTCTCTGTTCAGAATTGAGCCAGTTCTTGCATCCATCATTCTAGATGCATCAGGGTTTTCATTAGGATTGCCGATTAGTCTCCTATACTATTCCATTTGGAGCAACTTTAAGAAAATCCAGAACCGGAAATTGAAATAAGAGACAACTTGTGCCAGTGTTCTCAGGCAAAAAGGTGACCGATCTTTGCAGCAGCTGCCTCTTCAGCAAGGACATCCTTCCCAGCCTACTCCCCTTCGTTGTGAAACTAGTCAAGCCATTTGATCTGTAGCAAGGCTCATTCGGTTCTGTTTTGTTCATTGCTGTTGAGTTGGAACTGACTCATGGCTAGCTGGCCTCCCTGAAGGTTTTTCCAAGGCTATAAATCACGTGGGAGGAGATTGCCCATCTTGTTTCCTGCTGGTAGATGAGACTAGCAGAGAGGCACAGCTTTGTTTAGAGTTAGCAGCTCAGCTCACTATGGACTACCCACCAGAGCCCCTATAGCAGTGTTAGGCGTTACCATATTACAGTTGTCAGCAAGTCATTTCCAACTTGTGATGTTCCTGTGTGTTTTAAAATAGAGCTGTGCTTTTATATAGTGTCAGTAGCTGGTTATTTAGCAGTTATATACTGTTGACTTGGAACCAACCCATACCTGACTCTCAGTTTTCAGAGAGCAGCTGGTGGATTTGAACCTTAGGCCTTTGCGTTAGCAGTGCAGTGCCAAAAATGCTGGAAAGTCAGTGCTACTCAGCCCTTGATGTACTGGTGGCTCCCTGTTGAGAGCATTTTGTTTTTGCATGTCAGTGTATGTAAACTTTGTACATAAGAGGATAGGGGCAGCATGGAACTGGGCCTTAACAGCCCTCCCTAATGATCTGGGCACCCCAACCCAACCTTTGCACTGGGTCCCAGACAGAAGCAGGGGCCAGAAACTTAAGATGAGTTCAAACCCTGGGTCCATGAGAAAATAGACCCAGCTCTGAGACCAGTAGGAGGGATGATAGGGCTAGTAAATACTAGCAAAAGGCACCTCTTTGGGATAGACACAGTTTTTTTAAGATACAGCCTACATAGCTGAGTAGTTGCTCTTGAGAAGGAATGACTTTTTCTCACAGCTGACCTGCTCCAGGAGGGTTGACCTTTGGCTAAGAGGCCAACTCGAGCAAGACTGTTTTCTACCCATAGCAGAGTGACTTGGGCATATTAACATCTGTGTCCCAACTTTGTTGATGAATAAAGTAATACCCATTCTATTTCCTTATGTGAGAGGTCAGAAATTCTTCACTGTCTTGTCACTGCTCGCCAGGACACTGGGCTGCTACTTGAGCTATTTCCTTGCCTACATATTCCAGTAACTGTTCTCATGTTCACACGGACACAGTTCCTGTCCCTTGTCCTTGTGGTAATTGTTGTCCAGGAGATGACAACACAGTAACCAGAATGAAACACTGGTTGTAATGTGCCATCCTTTCAATAATTGGTATGCTTGAGTCCATTGTTGTACCTACTGTGTCCGTTTGTCTCCTAAGGATTTTCCTCTCTCTCTCAACTTACCACAGAGCTTTGCTGGTAAGGAGCTGTGTGGCCAATCCAAAGGCAGGTTTGAATCCACCGGTTACTCTGAGGAAGAAAGTTGGTCAGTGTCCCCTGCCATTTATAATCTGAAAACCTGATGGGAGTATCATATGAGTCGAGTCTAACTTAAAAGCAGTGTGTTTTTAAGCCCATTACCAAGCTTCGTGACTTTCTCCAGGGATCTTCCCAATAACATGTCCAGACTAGGGTACAAAATCTTATCCTCACTTCTAAAGAGCTTCCTGGCTCTGGCTCTCATATTTTAAAGGTGTCATGTGCAGCAGATTTCCCTGGTGCCTTTTGGCTGCTTGACTGCTGTTTCCATGGGCAATGTGAATCTAAGTATGTCTTTGTCTGCTTCAGTAATTTTCTGTGGATCATGATCCAGTTGTGACAATTTTAGTTTTCTTGTTGAGGCATAATCCCTACTGAAGGCGTGATCTTTGATCTTCATCAGTAAATGCTTCAAGCCATTTTTGCTTTCTTTGTATCATCTACTGTCACAGATTTAAGCTGTTATGTGCCATTGAGTTGTGCGTGGCTCATAGCAACCCTATATACAATAGCTCTGAACCCGGTCCTATCCTCAGCAATCTTACTGTCTCCAACTACCTGAATCACTGTAAATCCATCTCATCCAAGGTCTTCCTCTCCTGCGTTGTCCCTCCACCCTTCCAAGCATGATACCCTTCTCCAAGGACTGGTCACTCCTGGCAGCATGCCCAAAGTATGTGAGATGGAGCTTCAAAATCTTTGTTACCAGAGAACAACTTGGTTTCACTATCTCTAAGAAAGGCCTGTTCTCTTCACAGTCTGTGGTATCTTCAACAATACTCCAGCAGTACAAATGAAAAGTATCAATTCTTCTGTCACCTTTAGTCATTGTCCAGCTCTCTGATGCATAACAAGTAGTTGCAAACACTACTGATCTATGGCTTGCACTTTAGTCTCTAAACTGACATCTTTGTACTTTAGCACTTTGAAGAGGTCCCTAACAGCAGACTTTCCTACTCCAATTTTATCTTTTGATTTCCTGACTGCTGGTGCCAAGAGTGTTGATTGTGGGCTTGAGCAAGCTGGAATTGTTGAACAATTTCAACTTCTTCACCATCTATCATTGTACTGCCAGTTGGCCCAGTGGTGATGGGGGGATATCAATGTTTTCTTGGTATGTTGAGCTTCAATCTATATTGAAGACTGCATTGTTTGACTTTATGCAGCAGATGCTTCAAGTCCTCAGTTTCAGCAAGCAACTTTTTATCATCTGCATAACACGTTGATGAGTCTTCCCTCAATTCTGATGCCACATTCCTTGTAAAGATCAGCCTCCCAAATGATCTGTTCTACATATAGATTGAAGAGTATAGAAAGAGGACACATCCCTAACTCTTTTCTTGATTTTGAACCATACGTTGTTTGCTTGCTCTGTTCTGACAATGCTTCCTGGTCCCAGTATAGGTTTCACATGAGCACTATCAGATGTTCTGGGATCCGTAGTCTTCTCAAGGTTGACCATAATTTATTGTGATCCACACAGTCAATTGCCATTGTGTAGTCAACGAAACACTGACATTCTTCTGTTATTCTCTGCTTTCAGCCAATACCCATCTGACATTGGCAGTGATACCCTTAGTGCCACAGCCTCTTCTAAATCAGTAGTTCTACATTGATGTATTGTTCCAGTTGTTTTTGGAAGATATTCAGTGAGATCTTGCTTGTGTGTGGTACTAGTGATAATATGATGTAGAACCTAAATAATGATACCCTGATAAACTATAAAAGGATTAATGGTGAAATATTACACGTCTTAGCCCTTCATGTAAAAGAAATGTCCTTGATCCATGTAAAGGACATTTCCCTAGGTTATCACCTGTAACACCTTTTATCTCAGAGAAAAGAAAGCTGGCTGAGAAAAGAGACCTTGCAATCACCAAGAGAAGATAGCCAGTTGTTAAGTGCCATCGAGCATTGTTTCACCAAGTTCATAGAGTTTCCAGAGGTAAGCTATTTTGGAAGTGGATGCCACTGCTGCTTCCAAGTTTGTTTTAGTCAGGGAGCTCCACCAAATACTGTCCGCCATGAGTAACTGTTGTTGCATTTGACACATCAGAGTCACAGTGTTTATCATCACAGCAACCACGAGTTACCTCTATACAGCAAATGCACAGACTAGTGCTATACCACTTAGGAGAATGTTTAACCAAAAGCAATTAAAACCAGGCCTGAGGGCTGCAGATTAAAATCACCCACCTTTGGCTTGGTAGCACAACTTTCTATCCACTAGGCCCACAGAGCTCTATGTTGTTGGTGGTGGTAAGTGACATTGAGTCATAGACAATTCATAGTGACCCTGTGAACAAAAGAACACTTGTATAACTTTCATCGTTGCTCCAAGTTCATAGAGTTTCCAGAGGCGAGCTATTTTGGAAGTGGATGCCACACCTGCTTCCAAGTTTGTTTTAGAGCATAACCAGACGTGGAGTTAATCCTTCTAAGCCTGAGCTTCTGCACTGAATAGGTCCTCAACATGGGGGAAAGTGAAACACTTGGAACTATATGAAGACAAATATTGTGTGCCAAGAGGCTAAAGGAGACATAGGCCTTCCTTGTAGGACAAATAGATTTTCCCTAGAGCTGGCACCCTGAATTTGGATTTCAAGCCTCCTAAATTGTAAGATTAATTCACCCAGTGTTTCTGAAGCTGAAGGAACTGAAGAACAAGTTTAAGCCTCAAGTTGTAATACTTAAGAATGCTGAAGGCAGAATGTTGAATGACCTAGGAAGCATCAAACGATGAGAGGAGTACAGAAAGGCACTATACCAAAAAGAATGGGCTGACACAGAGGAATCTGATGAAACAACATGATCAAGAAGGAGGAACTTCAGTCTGCTCTGAAGTAGTTGGCCAAAAACAATGTCACAGGAATTGA